GAGGAGAGCTTTGGATAGAGAGTCGAACTATCACATTGCTTTCTGATGGACTGCATCACTAACACTATTCTAGTGTCTCCCTGGCAGATCATATACCTCGGCACATTTCCAATTTACGTTTGTATTTACGTAAACTGGACTCCACCTCTTATATCTTACTTGGTTAGTCAGTCACTCGCAAGAATCCTTGCTAACCTAGAAGCTCCTTCTGGTCCACAAAAATGAACGGCTACTACATGACCAGGCCTATCTCTTTGGACAACAATTATAAGATGATGGTGTGCATAGAAGAACTGCCCAACTCCGAACGTCACGTGAGGACAGCCCACATAAGTGTAAAAATCAAGTACGTAAATTTATACAAGTTTCGTAAATATGAAATGTAGAACACCAACAATGGCACTGCTTGGAATAAAAACAAAGGCAGCACACTAAATGGTACTCAAAGTGTCACATTTGCGGCTATTTCAGGCAAAGTAAGATTATGATGCCTACGTCACACTTTCATAAGATAACAATAACCAGGAAATTACGTGACGGGAAATCTGAAGTGACCCTCCTACACGTGGTAGCTGCACCGTAATACATCCACACTCACCATCTGACGCTTTGGCAGATTTCAATTAGGTCACTGAAAACACAGAACCTAAACTATACCTACCACATGTATTGTAATATTTCGAAGTAAACCCTAACATAGTCTAGTCTAACTAGTACGTATCAATACCATACCTTATAAGAGAAAATGGAGCAATATTCACAACATGTGTACATAAAAACTAACAAAAATAATGGCAGAAATGAAAGGACTACATAATTGGGTCAGCAATGTTACTAAATTTATATATTACCGCTATGAAAATAGAAATAGGTTAGGTAGGTTACGACCTGAGCACCTTGTCATATACTCGAGCAGGAAACCTGAGATATCATATCATTTTAAGATAGGATTCGTTAAGTATATCACAGACTCCTTAGTTGATATCGGTAATCGGTTTCCGTAATGGTACGTTATAAGTGCTGATACTGAAGGGAAGATGTTATTCATAGTACGGACCTGCAAAATTTCCATTTGTGAATTAACAGTGAACCTTTGCAACGAATTACGAAAGGAGTACAAACGTACCACTCCATCGTTTATGAGGAGAATATGGCGATAATTTCCTTGTTCCACCCCATCGAGAATAAATTGTCCGGGAGAATTCGCACTTGTCCTGTGAAAATACAACCACATGTTTTCAGCTTCTTCCACAAGAGTATCCAATCAAGAATTAGGTTACAAAAAAGCTACGCTAAGGAATTTTTTCCTCTCAACGGTTTACAGCCTCATGGTGGCTGGGAAGTGTTTCTCGGACTGCGATGTGCAGTGGGAAGATTCATCCCCTTAGCATGGCCTCCTAAGCTGAGGAGTCCGGAGTTTCCAACAGGAAGCCCAGCTTAGAGTAAACTAATTCCAAGATCCACCACCGTCGTAGTACCAAACAAGTCGTATGGTGGCAAATCTCCCTCTGATCCACAAGGGTGGTTACGATCTGAAGCAGACTTTGGGTAGGCTGACCTCGGAACTCCAGGGAACAACGACGGTTAGACCAATGAAACTGCGAAACAATGGAAATTATCCTGTGGCCTGCACAACCCATGAAGATGGGCTATCCAAATATCCAGGTAAGCAAAAATGTTGCTTTTTAATTCTATCAAATTACTATCGAAAATTAAGTGCATCAGGTACCGTCCAAGGGCAGTGGAAATGTTCTAGTCTCGATGCGCTAGACCAAGTTATTGCGTGCATGATACATGACATTTATCTTTGTAACAAAACAAAACAAGGGATAGTGTGTTACCAGCATGACAAACTATAGCCGTAAGTGCTACAGCGTTTAACATAAGGAGTTTTATGCCGAAACACCAATATTCTCTGGTTCACTCAGGAGAGTGCGTAATGATCAGCTGTGACAACCGACTAGAATGAGGGTCCTCACCGGAGCCCACTTAAAGCATGCGATGATTAGCTGAGCGAAACTTGATAATACAACCGATTAACGGCAAAGATTACATGAAAACGATGAGACAAATACACATTACCTACTAATGAACACGTTTTTATTATTACCACTATCGTTATTATTAATATTATTACTACTGTTACCAATATTATCGCTATTATTTTTTTATTATTATTATTAATGTTCTAAGTTAGCCAAAATATGCGCAAGATGGATTACGTAAGTAGCAAGTCGCAAGTAGCCCGTAACAAGTTCAAATTCTCATAACTTCTTATAAGCACCTTAAATTTAAGCACTACAGGAATTCTGGCATTTATTCAAAACACCTCATGTATCTTACTAGCAATGGAGCATTTTACACCTACAAAGAATATATACGGGGTCATTACAACTCATAAAAGAACGTGATCCACATTGGTGAATTCAGCCGCCCATAGTCCATTCTAGTTTCAATTAAATAAAGTTGCATAACAGGATCATCGGAACGGGCCATCAAAGTATCCAAATAAGTAAGAGTTTGGCTAGGCTGACCTCTAGACTCCAGGGAACCACAAAGACCAGACCAGGAAAACTCCGAAAAAATGAAAATTTTGCTGGTGCCCGAGTAACCAGTGAAAACGGGCCGTCTATACATAAGTAAGTGATGTTGCAATAGCTACTTGGCACTAAGTGAAATTTCTATGGAGTTACTAGACGTATTCTAAACTAGTGTATATCCAAAGGCCTTGTTGATAGTGATAGATAGGTAATAATAAAAAAAGGATAAAGCTCTCGGCGTTGATCAATCCCTGAGGGATGCGCGATGCATTCGACTTCATTAAGCATCGTTTGGAGGTGATTGAATGCATATCTGGTTTTCACAATGGCCTACCGATGTACCGAGCCAATGCTGCCATCCTTCCAGACAAGTCTGGTACCAATTTGGCCACCCCGAAGGGATGGAAGGCTTGGTGAGCCATAGGCGAGAAGATTGATTCCACGTGTGTGTTGCGGGGCGCCTCTGACCACTGTGCCACACGCGCCCTTCATGCCAGATGGTTAGAAAACCTATCTCTTGACGGAGTTATTTCCCAGTGTCTTTTATGTAGTCGAGGTATCGGCATGTTTCGACAACTAAATGAGAAGAAAGAAGAATGGCTGAAACTTAGCAAACTGACGTACTACCTGTCTCCACAGTGATATTTGCGGACCTCACCATACTTTCCAATTAACTAATATGTTCTTAGTTTCTAGCATAACTCCAGGTAGATCTGCAATCATAGGAGAGATATCCCAGTGGTAGTGATGTCGGTCGCCACGAGCACGGTGCAAGTTTGATTCCACTCCGGTCCAACCAAGCCTCTGATATCCCTCCAAAGTCGGAAAATTGGTATCAGACTTGTCCGGGAAAAACTCCCTCTCTATAACTCAATTGGGAACGCTACAACCCGGCTGTCTCAGGACTCCAAAGAGAGTGCGTCGTTTCCTTGTTCAGCAATCGCGAGGTTTTTAAGCAGCACATATTTACTTCCATAGGAAAACACAATACAATACAACACTAGCTGACGTTTCGGCAGTATCGCCTTCTTCAGAACCTAGAAGGGCATGCTGATATACAACCTACTAGGCCAAACGCCTCAACACCACTTACAAAAAGACGAAAAACTATTGTAAATACATGATCAACAGCTTCTCGAAAAACTCACCGCTTTTTACGTGACTTCCAATGAGCAAGTTTAGAACAGCTGATTATAGTCGCATATGGTTGATGATTGCACCATCCCACAACAGAAATCGATGCGAACATACGGGGTCAGGTCGCGTATGACCTCCGGGCATTTATCCCTGCCGTAAGGACAAATTACGCAATTTGTTGTTTCAAGGGACGGTGATTGCATGAGTTCAGGTACGATATAGCTGATCCCTTGTAATAATTGCGGAGATGAATATATTGGCGAAACGGGCAGACCTTTGTGTATCTGTATAAAATAAAACCTAGATGGTAAACGAAAACTGAGACAAAGTACCCCACTAGGCATGCATAGGATACAAAAGCATAGCGGAGACGATTTTGAAGTAAAAGCCAATATCCTTGCACAAGAGTCTAAAACACTAGCGCGAAAACTCCTAGAGGCTTTTTGGATAAATGCCAAAAACCCTGCAATGAATAGCAGGAATGAATGCCCGGAGGTCATATGCGACCTGACCACGTATGTTCGCATCGATTTCTGATGTGGGATGGTGCAATCATCAACCATATGCGAGTATAATCAGCTGTTCTAAACTTCCTCATTGGAAGTCGCGTAAAAAGCGGTGAGTTTTTCGAGAAGCTGTAGATCATGTAATTACCATAGAGTTTTTCGTCTTTTTGTAAGTGGTATTGAAGCGTTTTGCCTAGTAGATTGCATATCAGTATACCCTTCGAAGCTCTGAAGAAGGCGATACTGCCGAAACGTCAGCTAGTGTTGTATTGTATTGTGTTTTTCTATGGAAGTAAATATATGCTGCTTAAAAACCTCGCGATTGCTGAACAAGGAAACGACGCATTCTCTTTGGAGTCCTAAGACAGCCGGGTTGGAGCGTTCCCAATTGAGTTATAGAGAGGGATTTTTTTCTGGACAAGTCTGATACCAATTTCCCGGCCTTGGAGGGATATCAGAGGCTTGGTTGGACCGGAGTGGAATCAAACTTGCACCGTGCTCGTGGCGACCGACATCACTACCACTGGGATATCTCTCCTATGATTGCAGATCTACCTGGAGTTATGCTAGAAACTAAGGACATATTAGAACATTCATATTCCAATGCCGAAGTTAATAGAAAGTCGATCCTGGGAACTACTCCAAAGAGAATCGACTCGACCAGCATTCTACGACATTGAAGATGAAATGAAAATACTCAAGCAGTAGCCAGCCAAAGCCACACGTAAAAGTTGGGGGATCTTCGTGGATAATGGATGTTAGGAAACGAATCGAATGTGAGAAGTGGTGGGATCTGCACAGCAGAAGTGAAGACAGGTCATATGAAAAATGAAAAATAAAAAGTGCCGCAATCATTAAGGTGTTCTTGGGTCGTCACAATGTATAACAATCGGCTTTTTATACGAAATGAAGACATGACACATGACACAATGATAGTGAATTTGGTCTCACTATCATTATACGGCAGGAGATCAAAATGTGAGGTACATATTTTGTAAATTTCGTCATACGAACATAGGGTTGACATTGGCGATGCATACCTTACAAGAAAGTCGCCATCTTTTTGCAAAAGGTATTCTGCGGCAGCACGATCGAGTTCACCGTGAAACCAAGGTTTGTCTTGCAAATCTAGACCAAGGACTCCATTTGGATCATCCCGTACACCTATAATTTAAGTGCGAAAAATAAAAATGAGGACACAATCAGTCACTATTTGGCCACACGTTGTACCTAATTCAGGAGATGGTCGATCTGGAATGCGACTCCTGTTCGCCGGCCTTGGCGATGGAGCCAGCGGCTGTGGTCGAAGCTCATGACCAAACGGCGGATCCATCTAAATACTGTTGAACCAATACCTTTCAAAGAGATGCGCTTCCACTAGAAATAGTTGAAAAATGCTCTGTTTTTTATAAAACTGGATATTCCTACATTAACAATACCAGATGTTGGTAAAATCGGAGGCGGCATCGGTGTGTCACGAGTCGCTAACCGAATTGCATCGTCGATTATATGCATCACCCTTGGAACCTAAAAAGAAATAGAAATTATCCACTAGATTTTTATACATTTTATCTTCTAAGTACAAACATCATTGAATCGGAATACATGGCAACGTCTATCAGTTTCATCACGACGCTTCGCAATGTATCCGAACATGTCCGCAGTACTGCTCTCCTGCAAAATGTGAACTAAGTGTACATATTTAAAGTGGCACGGCAGTTATAAAACGCGGCTGAGAGAAAAGCGAAACAAAGGACTCGCATGGTGTGGTGGTCAACGTGTCAGTCCCCAGAAAAGGTAATAGTGTGTTAGGTCCCCACCGCAGACACTTGCAATCCGGAGTTTTACAAATGTCTCAGTATCATTGTGGTTGTATTTCAAATAATACCCTGCGTTCAAAAAACAACGTGGCAGTAGATAAAAAGTTATGCATTTGACGTAATGTTTGATACATTTCAAAACAAGCCATGAGGAGCTCTTCGGTAGTTTCCGAATCTTAGGAAAAGGGCACACAAATAAAAAGCATGTAGAGAATTTTAGAAGATTAAACACTGATTTATGGGATTAATGCACTGCTCAGTTTGTACTTTAATGCGAATAAAGGATAAACGATAAGGCGTTCGGCGTTGATCAATCCCTAAGAGATGCGCGATGCACCCGACTTCATTAGGCACATACAACGATTTCGACTTGCGGTAGCCCACCGATGTATCAACTCAGTATTGCTATCCTTTCAGACAAGTCTGGTACCGGTTTGTCAGCTCGGAAGAGGCAGAAGGCTTAGTGAGTTCAGCGTGTGGGATCGAGCCAAAGAGGCAGTGCCTATTGAGGGAAGACTCTGGCCACAGCGTTAGGTGCGCCCATACAAATGCATATATTAGATATTATTCCGCTATTTTTCCAGGTAGACTGCGGTTTCTTTCATCATTTCTATCTAGCTAGACTTAATAACATGCTGCTTATATGTACATGACCCGACAACAACTACTGTGCGGATCTCATTTCTTCCATTTAATTCGCTTCCTCGCATCCATCACTCATGAAAGTCGATAGATTTCTCGATTCGCTTGCTGGTTTAAGGCTTTCGGTCTTAATCACAACGTAGTTAAAAGTTCGTTGAGTTGACTGTCCCTGAAATTCTAAGACAATCAAGCAACGGCGTTCCTAAGCAGTGTAGGCAGCAAGGTGCTAGGCAGACAAGTTTTTTCCAGTTTCTCAACTTTAGTGATTAAGTGAAATGAGATGTTTGCCTGGTCTAGGATGCAGGATCAAAACATCGACTATGTTTACGAGAAAAAACCCAGGATCGACTTCCTTTTAACTTCGGTAATGGTCAGGAATTCGCTGTTTTCCTGAACAGCGAACACTAAGTTGTTATTACAGCACTTATTCATTCACAAGAGCTGAAGTTTCGGCGGTTTCGACTTCTCCAGAGCCTGGAAGAGCCAGCTTGATACGCAATCTACTCAGAGAAACACTTTTGTAACTTCAGCAGATAAAACATGGTGCATAAAACTTCACTCACATATTTAAAAGACCAGAAGCCTCCGGGATAAACTTCAAAAACCCCAGAACGAACTCCGTAAAGGAGTGTCTTATGATCATGGGGGAGCCCGCGCCAAATCTCAGTTCGATTTTTGCATTGATCCAGACAGATCCCTCATTTGTGTAGACTCTGTTTGGCTGGTGTCCACGAGATAACTGGAAAACTTACAAAGAACAAATTGATGAGTGTTTAAAAGAGACTATTTACTATGCGAATGAAACTTTACGCATTAAGTTTTATCTACTGAGGTCATGAAAAGGTTTAACTGAGTGTACTGCGTGTCAAATGACTCGGCGAGGCTCCGAAGAAAGCGAAACCGCTGAAACGTCACCTACTGTGAATGAATAAATGCTGTAATAACAACCTCGTGTTTGCTTATATTAAGAAAACAGTGCCTCTGTTTGTATTGCAGGGCACCCTTAACCACTGCGCTACTCGTATACAGAAATCGTTTGTTCATATTTGCATTCAAACTACTGTATCAATAAATTGTTAATGCTTCACCTCTGAGCCCTGGGCAGCAAATGAAACGAGTTCAATGTTATGGCGAGCAATCATTCGATTCATCTTTTCTTTGTTCTTGTCATCGGCATAGATAATAGTGAGTGCTTTCGTGGAGATATTTAACTCCACCTTGTGATTCGCCAATTCAGGCTCGCCAACCAGCTAAAAAATAGAGAGGGAGTCTCATTGATATCTAGTAAAAAAACGTGAACATTAGTTATCTTCCTCATCTAAAAAGTTCCTCGAAAATAACTTAAAATAAGGTATTGTTTAAGGCCCTCACCAACTTTATAATAGCATTCGTTTCCCTAATTGGAATGATACCACTCGATCCAGCAATTATATTAATACATTCTCTGAAAGAATTTTGGATTATCTCACAACAAAGTACTCAGATCAGCAAAATACATCCAAAAGATTTGTGTGAAATTATTAAAAGCAGTCCCACTAAAGAAAAACGCTGAGAAAAACAAAAATCCCAAAAACTGGCGCTTACTTGACAACTAATGGTCTCATATCGTCCGTCATTTCATGCAAAGCAACGATCACTGGTACGCTACCCAGATACTAAATGGAGTACCCGATTAGTATCCGGTATAGAAAGTGAGTAAAATACTGTGGTACTCCGTCATTTGTTTTCATTTTCATTACATCTACCTTGATAATCTTCTCATCTGCTTTGGTGAATTAGGTAATACTAGTAAAACTTTGTACTGGAACACTTGGATGTCCCGTCTTCATTGGTTGTGCGGGCCCAGTATAACTCCTACTTTTTCGGAATTTTGCTGATTTAGCTATTGTGGTTGCCTGGAGTCCCAAGGTCGGCACACCCAAGGTCTGCATAAGGTCGTCACTACCCCAGGTAGTACCGCTGTTGTGGATCAGAGGGAGATTTACCACCAAGCGACTAGTTTGATATTAGGACTGTGGTGAATCCTGGTACTGGTTTACTTTTAGCTGGATTTCCTGGTGGAAACACTAAACTCTTCAGCTTAAGAGGCCCTGCTGGGTAATTAGTCTCCCTTCTGTACATCGCAGTCCAACGCCCAAAGAGCATCTGATATTGTAGTAGTTCTAAGAATTTGGCGATAATGTGGAATATTTCGCAAGAACAGTTTTGAAATTGTTGATTTCACTTCATGTTTAGCCCGTTAGAAACTCATTTGTATTTCTAAGACACGAATTCTGTTTTTTGTCTTTTGCCACAAATCACCAGAAAAACTACTTGAAAGAACTACAGTGTTCACAGAAACTCGCGCTGTTTCCACTGAAAATGTGATGAGTGAAGGATTCTGAAGCAAAATATGAAAAACGCACCTCGAATGTGAATTGAATTCCGCTGCCACGCAGCTCAGCAGCTGTTGGCGGAAGTACCATGACATTCGCTGCGGACTTTAGGAATAAGCTCAGATAATAAGTGGATTTCTATTGACTTCCTACTGTACTGGAATAAGGTTCTTGAGCTGATAGAGGAACGTGAGCACGAAGCTCTTTGCTGTGAGGTCGATCGATATGAAGACTAGTCACGGTGTGTGTGTGTGTGTGCGTGTGTGTGTGTGTGCGTGTGTGTGTGTGCGGACAGTGGAACAGCCGTAATGTCACACAGTCGTAACACCGTGACTCATGATGTCCACTACTAATGTACTAGTAATGATTTCGGCGGCTCTGGCAGACGTCATTACAACTGGGGCGTAAATGTTATCCTATATGGGAGAGCCACTGGATATAGATACCGGATTACTATCACGGTGATTTCCTCCTAGTGGTAGTATTTTTAATTAACATACATCATTTCTTAACCAACTTAGAGTGGTGAACTACAGCACTATAGCATACCCAACAAGAAAATCCAGAATTATCTGACCAATGCAGAGGTTAATAGAAAAGCAAGAAAGAAAAAAAAGAGAAGAAAGAAGTCGAGTGAATTAGATCATAGTTTTGAGGCCCTGTTCTGGGCGATATTTCCACTTCCTACTCGGTGGGAGCGATCGCGTGTAGCGCAATGGTTGGAGGCGCCCTGCAATATACATTGGATCGATTCCTGTGCCACAGGCCCACCAAGCATTCCATACCTCCGGGGTCGGCAAATTGGTATCAGAGTTGCCTTGGAGGATAGCAGCACTGACTCGATACATCGGCAGACAACCGTGAGTCCAGACATGCATTTAATCACCTCCGACGATGCTTAATGAAGTCGGATGAATAGCGCATCCCTCAAAGATAGATCAATGCCAAGAGTTTTATCCTTTTTTATTTATTCGGTGGCCTAGCGATCTAATTGGTAACAAGGCATAAAGTAACGTCGCTTTAACCAAAGTGCTTACGGGTACTTCATGTGTCTCTATGATTCGCATTCTATAGTTACTTGGCTCAAAGAGGAGCAAATATATAATGAACCATCAGGAAGAAATGCTTGAAGAATTGGATACCTTAGCATAACTCCATGTAGTTACTCCGCTTCTGATCATATAATTCCAGCAGAACCGTGCAGCACCTTCAATTGACATTGTCCAGAAAGAAAAGCTCCTCTCCAATCTCGGATAAAACGCGATAGCTGGTGGGGTGACATTATGAGAACTCTTTACCATGCCAGTCCTAGAGCTCTATAGGAAATGTAGATAGACCAAGGAACAATGGTCCAGTTGTTACAAATAGTATTGAGGTTTAGGACCCGTAACTGCACAGTACTTAAGGCATGTATGAGGCCATGAAATCGAGAAAAAAAAACCCGTTTTATCGCGTTAATTTCCTTAATTTTTCTCATCGATTTATATAAGCGTTTACAACAAATATAGAAAATTGAGCTTTTTCGTGATTTCAATGATACTGAGATATTTGCAAAACTCCGGACCGCAGGTGTATGCGGTGGAGAACGAACGCGCTATTGTCCTTTCCAGGGAGTAACGCGCTCGTAGTTCTATCGATCTTTGCCACAGCAGTCACCCGTCAGCGGGACTGATCTGGGGGCCCTGGATACCCTGCCATTAAAAAAGAGTAGGCAGTAAATAATAAGTTGAGATTTTTCGTGATTCTTCTTGCTAGACACTTCATATGGATCTATGTTACATGAGATCGACTCCGCTTCTACAGTACATTTCCCATGCAGTACTGCTTCGTAATAGAGGTGTTTGTTATTTGTCAGTACAAATATGCGTACATCCAATCGACTCTTCGGCTTCATTCACTATCAAGTAATCAAGATCTCCACTTGCTTTTAGCACCATTTTTCCTCAGAACTATGAACTTCCATTGGGCATATGTTGTAATATTTTTATTCACTAATATATATATATATATATATATGTTGCGAACAACCTGCTACGAAGTTACCATTAAGCAGAGTTGTATCACTATTAAAATGATATTAGAGCATATCACTAACAAAATGGACGACATGAATCAATCTCGCCCCATACAACAACGGAAATAATTGCAATTTTCGACTTCTGAAGAAACATCACACTTCATAGAAAGCTTCATTAATTGAAATGAAAACCACTGGAATCTACAGATCTTTGCTAACAATATGCACTTTTTTCAATTCTTGGAGAATATAGACTATTTTGCTTTTCCTTTGAGGCCCGTTTCTCCAGAAGAAACGAACGAACCCTAATGAAGCACTTGAACAAGCGAGGTTTCATCCTCCAAATGGAGAGATGTCTCCAAACTGGGTGTTGACGCTTGCTGTTGCTTGCGTTAAAAGCTCAAATCTGTCATTTTTCTTTTTTTTTCTGTAAAATTCGAATTCAGAAAAGAAAATAGCTACATACTGAAGCGGCACTTTGTAAAAACTAGTTATACTTTAGTGCAAAATAGCAGTCTCTTCTCTAATTATGTGAGCTACCTAACTCCTAAAGTACTTTAGTTCCCCAAGGATTTTCGGCAGTTATCGAAAAACCAGTATTGTCTATTATGCGCTAGGGTAGAAAAGACAAAAGCACATGTGGTTAGAAGGAAAATACCTCTATAATTCCAAGTGGGAATCGTATAAGAAATGATAAACGTCTGAATACAACCAAGCAAGATTTGAACAGCCATGCTACCTCACACCTAGAGCAAGTCTCCAATACTTAACCGTTCTAAACTCTAATCGCGACCCGAAGTCTATAATTAAATGCTGACATGAAAACCGTTCGTCAAGAGTCCTAGAGATTAAAACAAAAACTACAACGTTAGCCTGAAGTCGTAACTCAAGAGCACCGTCTTAAGTGAATTTAAACCTATAATTCAACATGTGAGACATCCAGCACCGTATTATTTGGATCCGGCCCAAGTAAAGATGAATACACTGCATACGTATGACATGAAGCACCTCAAAGCAAGGAACTTTGAAATCCTTACGAAAAAACTAGTGAATGTAGTTGATACAAATAAAAACATACCAACGAGAACAAAAACATGCCAAATCGCATGTGCAAAAGGTATTATTCCGTCCATCTTGAAAAATACTACTCCAGCTATATAAACTAGACCACCAGTTGCCATCCATTCCAATCCAGTGCGGTCATTCTTCAAAGACAACGTGTTAGGAAGACAACCTCGTACGAACAAGTCATCTGAATGCAGACCATGCTAAAAATGGCAACAGATGGACATCCAGCAATCAGTATGTAAATAATTGTCTCCAGAGTTTTGTACCTGTAACGACATCTGTGTGACAGTTTAAAAACTCCTTGTAACTTATGAGGAGACTACACTTACTTCTCATGAAAATTGTATTGATATAATATTCCAAGTAGTGCAAAGATCCAAACCATCCACCTAAGATTTGAACCAAGATTTCCGCAATTTCGCAACCCCAACCACGGTGTATAGGATGCCGCAATGAAAAGATAAATGGCGGCACGGTCGCAAATGTGGAGGTAATACCGCAACCGAGTTTGCCTGAATCTCAACTTTTCTAAGTAGTTTTATCACCAGATGGGAGATATCTTCCAGACTTACGTTCTTTTTGGTCTACACATCAACTCACACGCGTGGTAGCATGTGGAGGACGAGAACAACAACGTTGTGAACAATCCATAGACGATCACCACATGACATTGTAATTCACGATGTGATATGGCGACCATGTGCCGAAAAATGATCACACTGGGCACTATGCCTATCTGAAAGACGCTGTTCAAACGCATTTTTTTAAATTTTATTTTATATGGTTCGTCTTTACGTCTACGGGGCAGATCCAAGTACTTCTCACTTTCGACTCGTCTCCTCGAATGCATCACCCACTAAGGTTTACCTACTTTTACGTGTGGCTTCGGCTGCTGCTTGAAGACTTTATTTCACTTTGAACGTCCTAGGGTGTTGGTCGGAGCCGATCGTTCCCAATTGGATCACAGAGAGCGATTTTTTCTCAGGTCAACTCCGGTACCAATTTCCCGACCCCGGAGGGATGACGGGCTTGGCTGGCCCGGAGCGGGATCGAAGTGGCACTATGCTCGTGAAGACCGACATCACTACCACTGTGCTATCCGCTCCCACTGTTCGGACGCGTAATTTCTAGAATAATCCTGTAAACTAACCGCATGGGATATTGTATTTGCCCAGTGCTCATATGTTGTCGGTTCGTAGGTCTCTCCTATTGAGGCCCGCTTGTTCTTATACAGAGAAATGCTGAAAGAGCAAGTATCCTAACGAAGTATTTGTAGATCCAAGGAAAATGGGTGGCTATCAGGAATAATTATTTCCACGCGAACGCTTCAATTTCAACTCACTAGTCGGTAAAAACAGTTGGGCTCTCCAACTCTGAACCATAATATCGTAACTTATGGAGAATTTTACTCGTTAAAATAAAAGAAAGCCGTAGCATCCACATATTTTTTGTTAAAAGGATACGTTCCACTATTGCAAGATGACGGAACTCCAACTTTTTGTTGTCTAAAAGATGCCCTTTTCATCGATAGGTCTTATTTCGAAGAGGCAAGCTACTGAACATAGAAAATCCACAAAACTAAAACTCCTGGAAATTTACATGCCTCTCCTGCAAGTCTATGCCCTCATGTAACAGAATTATTGAAAAATTGCCAGGATCTTTCCAAAACCCAACTATGGGTACTATGTGTTAGGGTCAGTTTTTGGTCTAGCCAAAAGATTTCTGCCAGAACGTTTTACACTTCTGTGGAACGTGGAACTTGCACCTTACTGAACAAATTTATTGATGTTACTCTCTAAAAAAGAAACTGGGAATAACAAAACCAATATTCTTCACAAATTATAGAGCGAACCATCTATTATCGCATTTAGCTACAATAGACAATACGTATTTGGCCTTTAAAATGACTGTCATTGTCCTAAAAATATGTGAAGAAAGTGTTTTTATCTTTCCAGAAACATCACCGAATTGACACTGTTCATGTGATTCTCTCATGAACCAAAAGCGTCCCCGGGATGAATTATTTAGACCCAAAAGAATTTACTATGCGATATTGAAAATCACAATCGTCCAACTTAAATGCAAGTTAGGTCACATGGTTACAGTTGGTTCTAATAGTTACCTTTCTATACCGCAACCACTCATCGGCGCCAATTTGTGGCCGCCTATATAGGCGAAACACAACTGTGGGAACACCTGACACTGGAAATACACTGAAAGTTAGAATTATTTATAAACACGGTGGTACATATGAGACAGCAAAACATGGCTAAGATGCGGCGTCGATCGCAAGGCAGCCAAGATTCTCCGCCAGTGTAAAAATGGTGTAAAAAGAACTTCAATAACAAGTAGAATTGGGGCTGGTTTACTCAACTAGTCATAGTTTCTTCCGTATTTGATGATGTTTTGTTGAAAGGCATGACTGCATCGAAACGGGACAATAAAGCCACAGTGATAAAAAGATAAAGCTCTCAGCTCTGAGCAATCCCTGAGGAATTCGCAGTGCATTCGACTTCCTTAACCATCGTTGGAGACGACTGAATACATACGTGGCTTTCACAATAACTCCTGGGGGCCTACCAGTGTATCGAACCAGTGTTGCTATCCTCCTGGACAAGTCTGGTACCACGTTACCAACCTCGGAGGGACGGAAGGCTTGATAAGCTCGGAGAGCGGAGACCGATCCTAATTGTCCTTTGCATGGCGCCTCCGACCATTGCGCTACACGCGCCGTTGGTTGTACGCACTAATCACAGCGAAGCAACAAAAAATAGTTTACACTGCAAAAGAATAACTGCTTTATTACTAAGCATAAAATGTCCCATTGTCGATATTTGAATGAAGGAATCCACACCTTCACGTGGGACTCCATACGACATGCCTTTTACAAAGAGATATAGTTATTTTTTAAAAAAAAACTATACAGAGAGCAAGTATGCTATCTGCATATTTTTCCAGAAGGTTAAAGATGAATCAAAAAGGTCAACTAGAGAGATAACCTTTCCTTCACAAATACGTGGAAGAACGAGCATGTAACCAAGAAACAGGTCAAGGTCACCACAGAGGTCAAGGTTTATTCGGTGAAAACCAATGTCGAAGAATCAACCAAACCAACAATAACATACAATAAAAAAAAATGAAGTGCATGGTAGAGTTCACTACATTTTCACTACTCGCTGACAATCTGGGACACCTGATTGTATGTGTGCTCATCATCTTGATGACTAGAATCGGAGTTCTCCTTATTCACTAGTTCCGACTCCGACTCATCTAAAAAAGAAATAAAAATAACAAGAAGGATTCATTCAAGCTCACAAACTCGCATTGACGGATACGGCTGAAATAAACTCACCTAAGCCATTCCTATATTTGCTATGAATTGCATCCAGACTATTGCCATTAGATCCAACTGAATTCGAATCATTCTTTTTGTACAGGCGACGTTTAGATGTCGCAACAGATATCACCTCTGAAAAGATAGGAACACTTTCCCGGAAAATCTCGCGAAAGTGAACAAAAAATGAGTTGAGGTCTTTTCCTAAACATACCTAACGAGTCCGAGTCTTGACTGGTAGAGATGTCAACCTCTTCAATACGAAGGCGTCTAGAAGAAGGCCGCCAGGGTGACTCGTGCACACGGGGAATGCGTGGGCTGGAGACGGCAGCAGAGTCTTCAGAACAGTGAGCAGAAATAAGACGAAGACAAAAGAAAAAATGTATTCTTAACGAAATTTTAAAAATGCTCACTCATACCAGCATGTGCATTTGGTGTTCGGCTAGAACATGCTTCTTCCTTCATCGTGCTATTGAATGGTCCCTCAATAAATCTCGACAATTTGACAGTTTCCGGCGGAATTAACGGTGCGCTTCCATCAATAGCTATTGATACGGTGGTTTTCATTCGACTGAAATGTTTTATTACGCTATAGTAAGAATTTCGAGTAAGGCTGACGATCACGAGAATAAGATTTATACCTCTTGAAACTCTCCGGCACTTGTCCGGCACTTTGATCTGAGCTCACTGTAGACGACGATACATCTTCCTGAATTATAAAAGCCCCCGCAAGTTGTTGTAGAGCACCATGTTCGGACATAGAGATGCAATCCAGAGACGGCAGGTCGGTTGCATTATCTCGTGTCTGTTATAGGGACCATATGGAAGACAATGTGAATAGAAAACACTGCAAAAACATCACAATAAAGAAAACCTCCTTATTAGCTATAATTGGTGCCTCGAAGCGAATCGATGTTTGGACATCGGTTTCTTTACAATGAATAGTAACAGGCAGAGTGGGTTTTGCTGAAAATTCGGTAAAATCTAAGACTTTGGGTTCCAAAAATTGATTCAAAACGAAACAATTCTGTAAGCGAAAAGAACAGAACGGACAGAGCGGCGTGGAAGGAATAAAGTGAAATTCTTTCACTCTTGTCTGGGTAGTAGAGGAAGAAGTCACCACTTCACGTAGTTGTTCAACAAACGATTTTTCGCGGCCGATGTTCCGAAGCTGATCAACAAGAGATCTCTCTTGACAAAGCCGGGCACCTAGCTAAGATAACAATACTTCCTTGAAACAAATGTTTACTCACAAGTGGAAAATTCCAACAACGTACTCGTTTCGCTAAATCGCTGATCTCCGCTGAGCTATCTGTGACTTCACGTGGGCTTTCTCCGATGAATAATGTTGTGTCATCAACCTGACTATTAAAAATGTTGCGAATCACACCAGCGCTACAATCCTTCAAAACTATAAATATGAATAAACAGAGAAGACTAGACTACAACTTACCAGGCTACACAATGGTGTATGCGCATCAGAATCATGAGTGACTTCCTCGACAACGCGTTGCTTTTCCCTGTAGTAAACCTCTAGAGGTATTACGATTCAATAAAACGAAAAACAGCAGTCCCTTACGGAGTTTCTGGAGATCTTCTTTCCTTTCGAACATCTGATATATCAAGCACCGGGAGATCAAACGTCACACTATTTCCTTTAGGTGGGTATACCGGACCAGCAGATTTTACGACAGCATCACAACCTTCTGAAGAGAAATGATTCACACTTGAACAAGTGTACAGAAACCTTTCAAAATTAAATGTATTAGACCGAAATAAGGAGCACGATTTTGCAGACGTTTCTCAAAAATAAATACCTTGCTCGACTCCATATCCATGCTTTCGTAAGACAGCTAACACGGACTCTTTATTCAACCGCGTGTTTGAAACCAGATCATCAACAGAGTATTCACCCGCATTCATACCTCGTAAGATCTCCTAAAGTAAGGCAATCTGAGCAGTAGCTTGTACTTGTAACCCTATGGATCTAAAGCTACTTGTTTCCATGAAAAATAAGCGCAGTTGTAGAAACCGTTACCTTAATTTGTAATCGAATGAGCAGAAGCTTCCTTGAACAGATTCTAGAAAAGTCGTCCTGCTGAGATCTTTAAAAATAGGAAAATTAGCCATGATAAACATCTATATAACATTATATCCACTAATCAAATGAGCAGATAAGTAGAGGTGGCCTTTAGAAAAGGTAGTGGGGATAAACCAGATCACCTCACTTCTCCAAAGTAAGCCAGAAATCCTGATTGACGTCGTACCAGCGAGGGGATCGAATTGACGCACGGACATTCTTCGCTATTCGTTTCACAGCTCGTCTCGACTGCAAACGTTTTTCAGCCGAAAGCGATACCAACACCATGTCCAAGCTCAGGCAAGACAACTCCTTACCTAAACAACTTGACTGGAAAGTTTCAGAGCAATACTACCGAGTAGATAAGAACCTGCAACAAATCCATCACACTTTTTCAGAGTTGAAACGATCACACTCTCAACAATAGAACTTATAGATCAATAACACGGCTGAGAGAATGGCGAAACGAAAGACTCGCATGGCGTGGTGGTGATCGCGTTGGCCAACGGAAAGAGGAATAGCGAGATGCCTCCTCATTGAGGACGGATCACTGCCAAACCATGAGAATGGCAAGTTTGGCAATATCTTAAAAACGAGAAAGTCTTTTCATATGAACCTCATGTCAGCTCAGTCATACAGGTGATTTATGAAAAGCATTCTAATCCACATAAAACCTCTAGAAGCACTATTCGAGGATTCTATCCACTACTACATGAGAGATCCACTAAGATGGACATTCACACGCAAAATATTCCTCCGCAGAGAAGACATTCTGCATTTATAAGTGTGACAGACAACTTAAGCTCCTGAAACAGTTGGATTCATCGTATCATTGCAAACTTATTTTAAACTATAATTGCGCATTGTTTCTTGTAAACCATGATGTCCTCCCTATGGTTTACCGCCTCATCATGGCCGGGAGGCGTTCCAGGGTGTTGGGCTCCAGTGTACAGTGGGAAGATTCGCCCCCCCCCCCCCCCCCCCCCCCCCCCCCCGGCAGAATCCACCAAGCTGGATGAAGTTCGCCGGCGTTTCCATCAGGAAACTCAGCTAAGAGTGAAGCAATACCAGGATACACCACGTTCCTGGCATCAAACTAGTCGCATGGTGGTAAATCTCCATCCGAACCACAACGGCGGCAACTGCCTGTGGTGGTCGTGATGACGACCTGGGGCAGACTTTGGCTAAGTTGACCTCGGGACTCTAGGTAACCAAAAATGTAAATTATGCTGGGCCACGCACAACCAGTGAAAATGGACCATCCAAGTATCCAAGTAAGTTACTGTAAAACTGAGCTTGTCAATGAAATAGGGTACAGCTGGGATCATTATTCCTCCAGAAAAGAATGCATGAACCCGACGAACGTTCTTGATAACGTTCACGAGCGACCTCCCACGTTTTGCCACGGTGCAGCCGATCGCGACGCAGATCCATTCCGCGGCTTGCGTCGCGTGTCGACGCGATTTTTTCCAAGTCCGGGTGTGCACTTGGACTTAGTCTGCGCAGCACTCCCGGTCCCATCGTGTAGTAGATTACCGCCGACCGTGAGAAGCCGATTGTGTTCGTATTTCGTTATCGTTGTTTACTTGTCGAGCTAAACTCATATAGAGGTGTCACATTTTCGCTCACTCGCGTTTTTGACCTGTTCTAATCGATTCGAGGGTGCCGTGACGTTTTTCCGTCGTCGTGTCTTTCTCACGCACTCCATCAGCCATCTGGTGCGCGAGTTTTCGTCGAGCAGATAATCATATTACAAAAAGTCAGACATTATGAGCGAAGTTGCCTTCGTTTATACCGTGAGCGATCTCAGTAACTTCCTCTACAAATCGATTTTTTCGTTTTCTTTAACAATATTGTGGTCTGTGGCTGAGCGTGAATATTGAAAGGAAGGGATAGTTATATAATCTTTGTTGCGTAAGGTCTAGATAGTCTTGCCATAGTGCTAATCGCTTCGAAAAGTACCTTAGAGACTGGCGCTGTTGTTCGTTATCGAGGGCAACAGCAAAAGTCTATTTGACGGCAACCCGTCATTAACTGTTACATCGACGGAGTAGGGTTCTTTGTAGTAAAATGACCTCCCCCCCTTTTTTTTTCTCTATTGAGATGGGTACTTCATATAAGCGAAGGAAGCAAATAAAGAGTGCAAGCTATAAGATTGAAAATAGGCTGAAGATAATGGTAAGAATAGAGACCCCTATTTAAATAATTAGTATTGCAGTGGTGTGATGAATTCGAATAGTTTTAGGTAAGGTTGAGAAGTTCTTGGAAATTCTTTATACCGTTCTGTTCTTGATAGGCTGACATGCGGTTCTTAACATGCTTATTTCGCGTTCGCGGTTCTCATTGTCAGTACTGAAACAGGTTGAAGACTCAGTCCGTGATATAGCCCGAACAGTGAGTATTCGGATGATTGTTCTAACTTCATGCAATATTAGCGACAGTTTTAAAGTCCTAATGTTATATTAGGTTATAAGTCTTAATCTGTGGAACCGCCACATTGACATCTATGGACCTTGGCTGTGTGAATTTTTGAAGTAAATGGCGCTGTCAGCGATTTAATGAGCGCTGGAGGGGTAAAGGTGCAAGTGGTGCAGTGGATAACAAGTGACCCCCGAAAAGGGTACTGGTGGGTTCGAGTTTAAACTAGGTTCCAGATTTTGCAAATATCTCAGCATCGTTGTTGTTTTTCATATAGTACCACGCGGTGAAATAATGATAGGCAGTAAATAGAAGCTTAATCTCATTGGGGGTTTACTCCACATGTTGCGCTCCTAGGCAGATGATGTATGGCACCCATTAAACGTGCGAAACAAGGTTTTTTTCTTTTTTTGAATAATTAGTTGCAGTCTCGTAGAGGTCCGTGTAGTAAGGATTTTGGGACCTCTGTTGTTGTAGTGGCCAGTTGTGGAAGGTAGCACGTGAAAATATCTAGAGATCGATTTCGTTTGAAAGTGAAATTAGGTTCTTGTGAAGATGAGTCATGGTCTTCCATTGTCCTCTACTTCCTTATTGAAAAACATTTCACATTCTGAAGCCTTTGGGAGATTTGCGAGATGAATCATACATTGAGAATAATTGGAGTGTTTTCCAATATAAAGGATACTGTGCTATATTATAGGGTGGATGTAGCGCAGTGGTTAGAAGTGCCCTGCCATAGACACGTGGTCGTTTCGATCCTGCATACCGTGTGCACCACAATTTCCATCCACCTGGGTTATCCAGACTTATTAAGAGGATAACAGCACTGACTTGATAGATCGGCAACCCAGCAGAAGTCATTGTGAAATTCATTCATGCATTCACTTCATTTAGCATCGTTGGAGATGATTGGATGCATACCTGACCTTTACAATGACTCGCCGTGGCCTACCGTTGTATCGAGCCAGTGCTGCTATCCTCCCAGACAGGTCTGGTACCAATTTACGACCCTGGAGGGATGAAAGGCTCGGTGGGCATGGGGCCTGGATTGATCTCATGTGTATTCCTTTCTTCTACGATATATATATATGTATATGTATATATATGTATATGCATATGTATATATATACAGTGCGCGTGTGGCGCAGTGGTTGGAGACGCCACAGCGACAAACACGTGGAATTGATCCCCGCGTCCATGGCTCACTAAACCCTCCATCCCTCCGGGGTCGGTAGATTGGTACGAGACTTCTCTGGGAGAATAGTACCAATGACTCGATCCATCGGTAAGCCACCGCGAGTTATTGTAAAGGCCAGAAATGCATTCAGTCACCTCCAACAATACTTAGTGGAGTCGAATTCATGGCGCATACCTCAGGAATTGATCAACGCCGAGAGCTTTTTAGCTTTTTTTGTACACATGTATGATGTACGATCCAAACATTCGCAACGTGGAAGACTAATGTGAAATTTTGAACTTAGAAATTATAACTTTAATGATGCTGAGATATTTGCAAAACTCTGGACAGCAGGTGTCTGCGGTGGGGAACGAACGCGCTACTGTCCTTTCCGTGGAGTAACGCGTTCACCACCACACCATGCGGGTGTTTTGTTTCGCCTGTCTCCTGGTGGTGAACGCGTTACTCCACGGAAAGAACAATAGCGCGTTCGTTCCCCACCGCAGACACCTGCTGTCCAGACTTTTGGAAATATCTCAGCATCATTAAAGTTATATTTCGCAATGTATACTTGTATAGCCGTTAAAAAGAGTAGGCAGTAAATAATAAGTTAAAGCTATAAATTATATTAAAAGCATGGAGTTTCCAAAGTAGATTTTGATTTCGAATGACGTGTTTCGTCACAGTGATTAAGTCAACGTTTCATAATGTGCCATCCTGAAGACATCTAAGGAAGTCCAAAATTTCAATCCGAGTTAACTCATATTGGCTGGTATATTTCGTATGGGAAGAGATGCTCTGTTATTTCTCTGTCAGGGTTGAACCTTTTGAAGATTACCATTGTATGAAACTTAACACCTTGTTAATAGCTTATGAAGTTTTAGTAAAAGAATTCATCGGAAGAGATGAAAGGACGGTGCTTGCTTTTCGAGGCTTTCAAAACTTTTCATATTAGTCAAAATATGGTAGTCTTACATCCTAGTTTATGCTCTGAATTATTGCTTTGCATAATGAGCATTGTTCAATATGCTTTCAGAAATTACATGACTTTTTTCTTCGTTGAAAGTACTGGTGTGCTGAATCGTTAGTTCTGTTGACGCTTTTGACGTGTGATGTGCTTTTTTTCAGCCCACGCTGTTGCGTTGAGCTTGACCTGATTAGTCAAATCGTATGGCTGACGTGGTTACCTCACCCATATTGACTGATAATCAGAATAAATCCGAATTATGTGGCGGTGATAGGTTGGTTTTACCCTAGAATTTGATTGAACGCCTAAGAATAAAGTATACATTGTTGACGTGAATGAACTGACGATCCTGACAATAGTAGCATCAAAGCTGAGTGCTGACTACCGCACTTGTCAAATTATACTGTAAAATTTACGAGTATCATCTAGTGACTACGGTAGCCATTCCCACGCCAACGGCAATTACGAGGTGGATGTTGAGCAGCCGAGGTCTGTCAAACAGGAGGTAATTATTCGACCTAGATATACAGTAGTTCAAGTTTTTTTAAAGTGCACAGCAAAATGGTTGTATTTATGAACAGATACTCAAGTGTTGTTTTAGAATGATTGTTTAGAATAATAATTGCGTTTCTGATGATGCCATATATTATCACATAGTTATTCTAAAGTGTACACAATGGAATCTTCCACTATAAATCATCACGTGATTTCCCACTACCAAACGCAACTTTGCAAAAGCTCTTATGCAATCGACTTTACGATACGTTGCATGTGTTCGGTTTACTGTTATTCTTCATCATTACACTAAACGAGAGAGCTACTCTTTAGCCACAATAATCGCACATTAAATACACAATAACATTAAAGTCTTCTCTCGTCTCTTATTTCGCTATAGTAGTTCACCGAGCTATTCCTAAACAATCAGGGATATTCAAGTCCCCTAAATGAGAGCCGACTATTATGTTATTCCAAATCATTGAATCGCATGTTTTTATTCGAATTGACGAGTACAATGCATACACGTAAGCGAAACTACCCATATAATTCCGTGTTACGATGATTTACGGTAGTGTTAAGTCAATCCTGCGCGTGAAACAGAGTGAATCTGATAGGTTTAACTATTAGGTTATTGAGAAATAAATGAGCGTTTTAAAATGTTTATTGTTTTAATACATGTTTTTTACCGACAAAATGTACTTTGTGCCTTGCATTATTATGTGTCATCAGGAAGCTGGTTTTATGCTCTCTCTAACCATATCTTTATATCTCGTCAAAACTTAAATTTTCCTTTACCAATTTTGAGCTCTACAATTTTAGATGTCAAAAACGAATTTTCGTCATATTTTTTATGAGTTCAAACTCGGTCTAAGTGCAGCAGAGACGGCTACAGACTCGAAACATTAGTGAAGTTTGCAGTGAAGGTATTGTTGCGAAATCAACAGTGCGAAAATGGTTCCGGAAATTCCGATCATGTGATTTCGTCCTCGAAGATAAGGAAGGCCGCGGATGTCCCAGTGAAATTGACGACGACGAATTGAAGGCACTAGTGGAAGCAAACACGCGAACAACTGTTCGAGAGCTTGCAGAACAGCTTAGCGTAAGCACAGGAACAGTTTCCACTCGCTTGAATCACATAGAAAGGACAAAAAAACTCGACAACTGTCTGCCGCACGAATTAAACGATAATCAGAAAAGTCGCGGTTTTGAAGTGTCGTCTGTTTTTGTTCTGCGCAACAAAAAACACTCTCCTTGATCGAATTCTGAGGTGCGATGAGAAGTTTATTCAATACGACAGCCGGCGTCGTTCAGCTCAATGATTGGATTGCGATCAGGCTCCGCAGCACTTCCAAAAGCCGAAATTATACCAAACAAATGTTATGGTGACTGTTTGGTGGTCTGCAGCCGAGCTGTTTCATCACAGCTTTTCAATGCGGGCGAAACCATTACGGCAGAAAATTATTGCCAACAAACCGTAAACTTCAACAACAACGACCGGCATTAATCAGCAGAAAACGACCAATATTTCTCTACGACAGCGCCCGGCTTCACATTGCGGAACTAGCGCTGCAGAAGTTGAACGAGTTGGGCTACGAAACTATCTAATCCGCCATATTCACCGAACCTCTCACCTATCTACTATCACTTCTTAAAGCACCTTGACAACTTCCTGCGCGAGGAATGTTTCACCAACCACGATAACGCTGAAAATGTCTCCAACGAATTCATCGCTTTAAGAACTCAAGAATTTTATGCAGTTGGAATAATTAAACTTGTTTCTTGGTGGAAAATGTTTATATTGAAATAGTTTTTACTTTGTTTAATAAAGTTTTGTTAGAAGTATGTTATGACATTTTAAACAATATAGTTAAAAACGCTCATTTATGTCTGAGCAACCTAATATGTGTCTGCGTAATGGGTCCGTATAGCTGATTAATTAATCATGGACAGACGCGGATACTACACATCACACTACGTCTCCATCATTTGAGGGATCTCGAGTCGGTTAGTCGCGAGGCTAGGTGGCACGTCTCCACATGGCGGCTTGAGGGTTAATCGCGGACCAACAGCGACCGCGGCTTCCTTAGACGCAAGTGGCTTCAGGGGATGGACTCCCTGTTTCTGCGGTGGCAATTTGGCAAATACTTTCTGCATCTACTGGGATGTATTCATGTATACTTGTGTGGGTGTGTTCTCGTTTACGCAGACTGTATTCTACGAGTCAATTCGGCCAAAAGTCTGCAGTCACGTGATCAAATAACGGAAATATGTGTGAAGTGGTTGGAACTTGCCTCCAGCAAATAAGCTCCACACCTACCCTGGTAGAAACTGGCAACCTACCCGTGAGCGTACCCACACCCACGTTTCGAGCTTAGCAAACAACGTGGATATCAATAAGCTAAACGCAGTAAAATAAATGGACCTCATTCCCCTGACGCCGAAAGAGCCTGAGACTCAGCAGCGCTGGGTAGGACGAGTACAGAGAGGCTACTAAAATCTCAGAGTTATACTGAGCTACCTAAATCGCATGGACGGTCTGTACCTACAATGCACGCACACTTCATTTAAGTCCTCGATAGAAGAATTGCTCATGCAAGGAAGATGGATAAGCTACGACGTCATCGACCTAGCCGAGACAGGACGACACCATCCATTCAGTGCCATCCATGACACCGGAGAAGATCTGTTTATCATCCGAACATGCGACAGCATAGGAGTGGGGCGGTGTCGGCGTTCCCGTCAACACGAGTTCGTCAATGAACATCGAATCATTCGAACTTTTACGATTGAAGAGACGTGGATCAATACCGGCCGTGACAGTCTTCGTCGTTTATGCACCGATATCAAACTATGACGAAAAAGAAGTTGAAGCGTTCGGTATGGACTTGGAAAAGTTCTACAGAAAAACCCAACAATCTTCAAGGTCATAATTGGCGATTCTAACGCTAATGTTGGACCTAGAGAATAGGAAAAGCGCTGCGTTGGTATCCACGGATTAGAATGGAATGAACAGGGTGAGAGGATGTCTGAGTTTGCCAGGACCATAAATAGTAACTCGCAATTCCAGAAGCCCCACCCTCAACGCTGGACGTGGGAGTCTCTCAATAGGAGAAACCATAACGAAATAGACCACATCAAAGTAAATCGTAGGTTTTGCCTTACCGATATCGCTACCCTCCCAACATTGTACTCGGGGTCAGACCATCTCCTCCGCGCAACATTGCGTTCTTCAATGGAATGTAGAAGAAGCTGCTGAATTAAAAAACGAAGTCTGAAAATCACCGTAAACTAGGATTCATTCAATTCATTAGGCTGCTGTTGGGAAGATACCGTTCTTGTCAACGTAGACGAAGAATACCATCGGCTTACCCAACATCTTCACGATAGCACTATGAAAGCTGAGAAAGTGACCAAGAGACGTCTGTTTCCAGAAACACTCGAGCTAATACGCCAGCGTGGACTCGCACAAGCTGCAGGCAACGGCGAACTAACGACTGAGCTCGCAAAGCAGTGCAGTCAGGCGATAAAAGAAGATCTTAAAGAGAGAAAAGCAGCAGTAATGGTTGAATCTGCAGAGGCCGGGAAAAGCATTCGCATAGCCCACCGAAGCTTCACCAATTACAAGATCAAGATGATTGCACTCCGACGCCTAGACGGAATAGTTACAGCGTCCAGAAAGGGAATGGAGGAAATCATTCACGAATACTACTCAGATCCCCTAGCCACGTCCTCCTCCCCTTATATGAAATAAAGGAGGATGGATATGTCGTGCTACCCGTTCCCTTTCCGAAATCCGACATGCTATTTCATCGGTGAAAAATCGAACAGCACCAGGTCCGAACAGGGTGAAATCTGAGCACCTGAAGAACCTTCCGCCAGTCCTCATAAACGGAGTAGAAGTTCTGAATGGGCATCAGTCATCATTCCTGTTCCAGACTGTGATCACAGGAACAATTTGGAAGTGGCCAATAAAGCAGGACCTCTGTCGAGAGCTTGTTTTATTCAACGGGTTAAACTTCGTTCATTCCTTTACATGCGCAGTAAGGTTGGCTTTGTAAAAGCGTTGTATGGTGTGCTCAAAAAAAGTCGGTAATGGTTGTGCAGATCTATTCCTCGGTGTGATGGCTGGGAGTATTGTCCTCTATCATGTGGGGAAGAGCATGTAGGTACTGGCTTAGGCTACAAAGGTAATAAAATGTTTTGCACCAGGAGTTAGTTCTTCTTGGAGAGATGTTATATGTACCAGCCCATTGTGGCCGTCGTTTGTCAGTTGGTTCATATTCAATCGTCTATGGATAGGCAGTGAAAGCGCTAGGTGTGGTAAGGTATTCCCAGGTCATTGTTACAAATAGTCTCTCGCCCTTTCGTGTTGAAGGAAATCTTACATCACTAGTTTTCCGTGAGTACGATGGAAATTTCTGCAATACGTTTACTTTTATCGGGCTACTCAGTTGTAAATGACTAACCCTTTCTCAGCTCAAGTCGACCCATGCTGGGGCTTAATCCCTGCTATAGATTCGATACCAAAGCCAATGGGAAAAGTTGTACATATTATTGAAGAACTACACATGTGAGGTTATTTTCGTTTTCGCTGTCTATGCTCAGTTTTATGCTAGAACGATCATCAGTAACTCTATAATTTTCTGAATTGTAGCCAGAACTGAGTTCATTTGAAGCCGCACTGGCGGCGGCTGCTGCTGGAGTAAACCATCGAAAGAAAGAGAACGCTCCGCCTGTAAAGAAGGTTTGACATTATTGATAGCCTAATTTAGAGTTTTCTATAGCTTCATATTTAGGAGGTGTACTCAGACGATGATGATATTCCATGGGCTGAGCGTATGGCAAAGGAAAAGAAAGAGAAGTCAGTTGAGAAAAAGAAAAAGAAGAGGAAAGGTAGTGACAGTGAGGACGAATACCGACCAGAAGTATGTTAAGACCTCACCAACTTTTTTTGTCCTGTATTGCCGGAGCTGCCTCACATTCTTGTTGCGATTGCCACTTTTTTGGCTCAAAAATTTCAGCCTCATTTTCCAAATTAGTGTGTCCTGACGTCGTCTAGTTTTCATCGTTGAAATAACTTCACTTTAGTGTTGTATTCATTGTACATTCTTTCTCAGTACTTGCCAAGCAAAGGCTCTCGCAGAATTGTGCGTTTCTAAAAATAGGTTGGGAGATATTTAGACTTCAATTCGTCGGTAATATAGTGGCAAACTATTATTTTCGTGTAGGTAAAAGTCTAGTGCAGAGTTGCTGTCAGGCGTCCTAAATTTCACATTTATATTCTTCCTTCTTCGTGCAGTTGTTTTTCTAATGGTATCTGAGGGTTTAAACAGGTCTTAGATGAAGATGAGATTCCTTGGGCCGAACGTTTGAAAAGGGACTCTATATCTTCGTCGCCGAAGAAGAAGCGTAAGATCGAGGTGGACTCAGATTATGAAGAGAAAAATGTTGATAAAGAAAAGTGGACCAAGAAGGAAGATAGTGGTAGTAACTGTGTCTATACTGAATCTAGGAAGGATAAGGTACGCATATGTTGGGTACATTAGATTTTTGTTGAGATATCAACGTTTATCTTATTGTAAACCACTGAGAGGTGATGAAGTATTTTCATGGTAGCATTCTCTTTTTGATGGAAATATTCATTTGTAGATTTGGATTTCTAGAGAAAGAAGAAGAAGAAGGATAAGGAGGCTAGAGAAAGCAACTCTTCATCGTCGTCATCGAAGAAAACACCGAAGAAAGAGGTGAAGAATGAGCAAGGAGAAATACTGCAGAAAAAGAAGAAAAAACAGGAAGAAGTCGAAGATGTGTGGGAATGGTACTTTTCAATGAAGCTTATCTCCTCTGAAACAAGTTAGGTAAACATTTTACTGTGCAAATTTTCAGGTGGAAGGAGGAAAAGAAGCCAGCTGGTGTGAAATGGAACAGCCTTCATCATAAAGGGCCGCTTTTCGCACCTCCTTACGAACGTTTACCAGACCATGTAAATTTCAAATATGATGGAAAAGTGAGTAATAGTTTCAGTGTGTTCGCAGTTTCCATATTATCCATATATTGATATGGGGGCCTTTGTACTAACCATCTGGAACTAACATTGGTCTTACTGGGCATAATTTAAGGTAGTTCAACTTTCTGATGAAGCTGAAGAAGTAGCAACGTTCTATGCGAAGATGCTAAATCATGATTACACTACCAAAGATGCATTCAACAAGAACTTCTTTCATGATTGGCGAAAGGTATAGTACTGTAAATGTGTATATGAGATCTTCCACAGTGAGGCCTGTTTTGTGGTATGAATATAAAAAGTAATGGTTGGTGAATAAAGAGCATTTTTTCCACAATGGCGTATGCTAGTAATAATAAAAGCAATAGCAATAATAAGTAAAATTAGTAAGATGATTACGTTCATGCTTTTGTTACATTATTTTTCGAGACGAAGATAGACGCGCATCCAATACATTTTGCACTTCTCTGTTGTTGTGAAGTAACTGACAGTTCACATAATTGCTCGTCAAGCAGTTTGTAAATATATTATTCTACTAAGCCTCTGAAACTAGTAAAGTAGTATAAATAGGTTTTTTCTTGCAGTGTAGTTTGTTAATGATGAAGTGATTCAAGTGACCCGTGTAAACAGCTAATGCTTCAAAGTACGAAAGGACAGCGATTTCTAATGCTTGTGTTGGTGTTTGCAACCCTGATGAGGAAGAAAAAGATAGCTTTGAGATTTTTATTGTAGCGTTGCTGCTGAAGCATAACAGTCATTTAAGATAAAGCAACAAAAATCTTAAAGCTGTCTTCTTCTTGAGTCAGTCTAGCAAATTGATTTTATTGTTTGAAGGTTTTGATACATGTAGATTTTCATCATTGCTTATTTTAGGTTATGTCTCCTGCCGAACGCGAGTTGATTACAGATTTGAAGAAGTGTGATTTTCGAGAAATGACTGTTCATTTTGAAAAGCAATCAGAAATTCGAAAGGCGATGAGTAAGGAAGAGAAAGCTAAGATCAAGGTAATCACGCTCTAAAACCCAACTGCCTAAGTGAATATTTTGTCTACTGTAAAGTAGATATACAATATGCTTGACAGGAAGCTAAAGAAGCTGAAGCGAAAATTTATGGCTTCGCTTTTATCGATGGTCACAAGCAAAAAATTGGTAACTTCAGGATAGAACCGCCTGGTATGTGTTTATTCTGCATATGGGTTTGTTTCCTATCAGTTTATCTTTTTATCTGTTTAGGTTTATTCCGTGGTCGTGGTGGTCACCCGAAAATGGGGATGTTGAAAAAACGAGTTCGACCAGAGGATGTGATCATAAACTGCTCGAAGTGAGAATTTATGGTTATTTCCTATCTGATGTAATCAGAAAACAGTGTCAATTATTGGGGTTTAATATCTCATAAGTTCATCTAGTGGTTCATTGCCTCATCATGGCTGGACGGGTGTTTCTGGGTGCCGAGCCACGATGTATAACGCAGATCTTTCGGCAGAGCTATCCAAACTGAGAAGTTTCACATTTCCATCCTGAAACCTAGCAGACTTATGCCACAAGAGTACACAGCGAGTTACCCTTTGCTGTCGCTTTACTGAAAACCGAAAAATAAAAGGTAAAAAAAGCCAGGGAATCGTAGACAATTTCCAGGGACAGCGAAATACCAGTGCCTCCTGATGGTCATAAATGGAAGGAAGTTCGTCACGATAATACAGTGACATGGCTGGTTTCGTGGACTGAGAATGTGCTTGGACAGAATAAATACATTATGCTAAATCCTAGTAGTAAAATAAAGGTTCGAAATATGTTTTTTAAATATAATCTTTCCGAAATCGCCACAAAGAATGTTAATCATTTAGGGAGAGAAGGATTATGAGAAATATGAGACTGCTCGTCGTCTGAAGTCACGTATCGACGATATTCGAGCGGTATACACAGCTGATTGGAAGTCGAAGGAAATGCGTGTACGACAGAGAGCTGTTGCACTTTACTTCATAGATAAGGCGAGGTCACTCTGCCTGTTCGTGCAGTTTCATGTTTTACGACTCAGTATTTTATGTTTTAGCTAGCCCTTCGTGCAGGCAACGAAAAAGATGTAGACGAGGCTGCTGATACCGTCGGTTGTTGTTCTTTGCGGTGTGAACATATAAAATTATATGAGAAGCTCGATGACAAAGAGTGTGTCTTACACCATTTTTTTGATGCTTTTTTATGAGTGTTCCATTTCGATTGCGTTTTCTTTCACATTTAGATATGTCGTTGAGTTCGATTTTCTTGGAAAGGATTCTATTCGCTACTTCAATCAGGTACCGGTTGAAAAGAGGGTTTTCAAGAATTTGCAACTATTCATGGACAACAAAGACCCTGGTGATGATTTGTTCGACAGACTTGATGTTGGTTTTCTTCTTTTGTAGATAATCTAGTTGGTAACACACCGGTACTTCAATAGGTTCTATTGTTGAAATAGGAGAACTGTACCTTAAAGTGTCAGATTTGAGCGTATCCTACATTTTTGTTCCAGACAGCTTCCCTTAATGAACATTTGCGCTCGCTTATGGACGGTCTTACTGTCAAGGTGTTTCGTACATATAACGCCTCCATTACTCTCCAGCAGCAATTAGCTAAGCTGACGAGAGGTATAGCTTCATTGCGGTTTCCTTAATTCCAACCTAAATTGAAAGTTGTGTATGCATTTTTCGCTACTCAGTACATAAAGATTGTTCGTGAGCTGTACAAAAATTTTACAACGAAGATATCACCATTTTCCACAACGATGTCAGTGTTAATTGACGTCAAAAGAGGAGTTAGGCGAGGCGATACCATCTCGCCAAAATTATTTACCGCCGCCTTCCAGAACGTCATGCGAACATTGGAATAAGATAATATGGGAGTGAAAATCGATGGTCGGCAGTTATACCATCTTCGCTTTGCTGACGAAATCGTCCGTATAACACCAAACATTAGCCAAGCGGAACTTATGCTTGACGACTTTGATAGAGCCTGTGGAAAGATTGGTTTTCAACTAAATCTCAAACACGATGTTCATGAAGAACGGATTGGTTTCGCATGTCCTATTCATGCTCATCGGAACGAATATTTCAGAATGCTCCAATTATGTCTATCTAGGTCGCGAAATCAACACGGTGGACGACTTAGCTGCAGAGCTGAGGAGAAGGAAACGAGCAGTTTGGGGAGCTGTCAAGAGCATCGAGGATTTAGTGAAGAGAACGAAGAACACCCGACTCCGTTTACACCTTTTCAACTCAACGATACTCCCTGCCCTAACGTATGCCTCAGAAACTTGGTCGCTGCGTAAGGGGATGACTGATCACTCAGCGTTATCGAACGCTCAGTCGAAAGGGCGAAGCTAGGAGTATCCCGTTTCACACAAGTAAGGGATGTGATACGAAGCTCCGACCTGCGTCAACGATCAACTATCGAGCGTGCCGTTCTGTACGCCAAACAATCGAAGATAAATAGGGCCGGACACGTAATGCGGATGAATGACAACCGATGGAAAAGAGCCGTTAGTGACTGGATTCCTCGGGTTGTCAAACGTAGTGCAGGAAGACCACGAATCCGCTGGTCAGAGTTCTTCACAAAGAACCTGGTAGAAAGATATGATGCTCAACGAGTCCCTAGAGTGAGCAGAACCCACTGGGCTGCTCTTGCACGCGACAGGGAAAAATGGAAGGTTTACTGGCGCCCGCTCGAGTCACTCGACGATCAACGAGACTGTAAGTGACAGGTGATGCTGGTATGGATTTTTACCCCAGAATTTCTCCCACTGAGTAATGCTAAGTTGTGTACAGATCATGTTACATGGCACTTTTTAGGAAAAAGATGGACGTGTAAATACGGACAGAAAGCCAACTAAAGTCGCTTAGTCATGGCATTGGATTCAAGGGGTTTTGCCACACCCAGAGATAATATCATTAACGTTGTTATATTCGTGGAATACCGTTCCTCTATGGTAATTTACGGTATTAAGTTGCGAAAACCATAGCGAAATTGTCCACATCGTAGTAAGTCAAAGGTTCGCCCTATCCGATGTCGCTGTTATATCCCAAATTTATAAATGGTGTGATCAGACTATTGCCTCTGCCTAGAAAGTTTCTTCCTTTCGAGTTCTCAAGAAAAAGAACAGAACAGTCAGAACCTAAGAAATTATTTTTTTATTTCTTTTGCTAGCTTAAGAGATTACATCTTTAAGCCGATGAGGACAGAGTATGATCAGCTCTTTCAACACATTCACTACACTGCTAATTAAGCCAAGAGTTTTGAACTCATCAAGAGACTCCAGTAGAGTAACAACTTTGAGTGGGGTTTCGAAAGCAGTGAAGAACATGTGCAACTGTCTATAACGTTTCGACAATCACAATACCAAGATGATTTCTCTTTATTAGAGCCTAGACGGAGATTTTTTTTAAAGTTATGCGTCCAGAACAACGATGTATAAGCAAAGAGGAACATCTGGGACTACTTCGGTGTGTTTAGCAGTCGAGTCTTAATCTCGAGAATGTATACATATATATACTTGGATGCTTGGTTATTTGGACGGTCCTTAACGAGCTGTGCGGATCCCAGCACATATGCCATTCGTTCCTTTCTCTCGTAATCGTAGTCCATGGTGGTGGTCTTGTTCGAGCATGGTAGCGCTTGCGAGTTTCACACCGTGATCTGTAAAACAACTGCAGATGCGGGTACAGCTGATTAACATTATTTACGAATACGAACGCCCAACGTGTAGGTGGTCGTTCAAGGGGACGTTTGCATTCTCTTGGAGCCCACACTACTGTTCTTTTCGTCCATTCGTCGTCTGTTCTTCTCAAAATGTGACCGGCCCATCCATGTTTCGCTGTCGATATGTATTCTCCTGCATTTCGAAGATGTGACAGATTTCGAAGATTAGAGCTTCGCATTACGGTTGCATATTGAGAGTGCCGGTTATTTTTCAAAAGACATCGTTCAAGCGCTCTGTGAGTAGTTTGAAGCATTCTTGACGTAGTTGAGGTATCAACCAACGTCTCTGCAGCATAACAGAGCGCTGGGAGGACCGTAAAATCAGAGATCAGCGCGAATTTTCGGGTCCTTCAGTTGGTCGGTGGCTTTTTTGAGAGGCCCGAATGCGGGCCAAGTTGCTCTCCTTCTTCTATCTAGTTCCTCCTTCATTTTGTTTTCCAAGCTCATTGGTCGCCCAAGTGAACGCACGAGGTGGTCTCTGCAATGAGAGAGACATTCATTTCAATTTTTTCGCCTTCGCACCATGGGTTTTTCATGAATTGGGTCTTCTTTCGATTTGTGCGAAGTCCGATCTTTCTCCCCGCTTCGTTGAGCTCGTTGATCATCACTTCTGCTTCGCTAGAACTTCTTGAGAAGATGACAATATCTTCGACAAAACGAAGGTTTGATAGGAAATCTCCATCAATACGTATGCCTTTCTCATCCCAATCGAGTGACTTCATTATCCACTGCGGTGCGGCACTGAACAGTTTTGGCGATATTATGTAGCCCTGTCGAAGCCCTTTTCCTATGAGTGTTGTAAGAGGAAAAGCTGTATTTTTGTAGTGCAGTTTCGGTAACAGTGAGATAGAGTTCTTACGTAGAACGGGTCCACTTCTTGGTTGATGAGCGCTGATAGCATTACATTCCTTCCGACACTGTCAAACGTTTTCTCATAGTCGACAAAGGTTAGGACTAGAGGCGAGTGGTATTCCCGACAAACTTCGATGACCCTGGTACGGTTTGGATGTGGTCCATGCAGCAAAATCCTTTTCGAAATCCTGCTTGCTCGACTGATTGCGCCTCATCCAATGTTCTTGATATGCGCGAGAGAATAATCTTCGTGAAGAACTTGTAGAGTACACTCAGCAAGCATATGGGGCGATAGTTACGAAGATCCCTTCGGTCTCCTTTCTTGGGCAGGATGACTGCGGGCGACGTCCTCCACTGCTCTGGGATTTTTTCCTTTTGTAGGTAGCCTGTCATATGATCTGCGAGAAGTACATTGAAATTGTGGCCTCCAGCTCTAAGAAGATCGGCAGTGATATTATCGGGTGCTGGAGCTGTGCCTCTTATCATGCTTTCTATCGCAACTCGAACCTCCAACAGAAGAATTCCGGGTGGTTTTTCTCCAGCAGGGATATTAGGGCCCGGGACGGGGATTGTGGAACGGAAAAGGTTGCTATAGAAAGTTTTCGCTATTAGTTCCATATCATGGCGGGAATTTTTGACGATCCCATCTTCGTTCATCAGGGCTGACAGCGGAACGTTATCATCACAGACGTCCCGACGGCATTTTTTCAGACTGCTTTTTTTCTCTGCTGCTTCCAGTATTTTCTTCTGCTTGCACCGTTGTAGATCTTCCTGCAAAGCTCTACGTCCGGCATTATTACATTATTACTAGCCATGTTAAACGTGTTGCGGTAGGATCAAGCTTCAGTTTCCTTCTCTTTCTGAGCAACTCCTTAATAGTGATGGAGATGCAATCCGATCTTCCTTGAGGAACTGAGACGAATTCGGCACAACTTTTCAGTCCTTCGACAAGCAGCTGGTAGTCTTCTGTCGAGTCTTCTTTGATCTGTCAATCACGTTTGGACAGGATTTCGTTCAGAATGTTCTCGTCGTATACAGCTAGACTTTTTCCTCGTCGATGAAGAGACTTCCTTTCCAGCTTGCAGCTGAATCGAATCTTCGCGCGAAGAAGGCGTTGAGCGGAACGAGTACAGAATGACGGGTCTACCGATGTGTCAAGTAGGCACCATCTTCTGTTTATCAGAATGTGGTCGATCTACGCATGACTCATGCCGTTGGGAGACTCCCTTGTCCAGCGGCGGCTTTGTTTCTTCTGGAAAAACGAGTCTCCATGGAAGAGACGTGCTGCCGCCAGTCCTGCGAGACGGTTTCCATTCTCGTTTCTTTGTCCTATTCCAAAATCATCGATCCCGTATTCGCACTGGTTGACCTTTCCTGTTCTGGCGTTGAAGTCTCCAACAACAAATTTTTGATATGCTTTATTACTGCGGATGATTTCCACCAACTGATAGTAGAATGCATTTAATTCGTGCTCATCAGCTGCGTCGGTCGGTGAGTACCAGTTGATGATAGTGATCTTCCTATGATGCGACAATTGAAAACTGAGGACGGCTATGCGAGGGGAAAGGATCACGTATGAGTCGACTAGATGGACAATGGACGGGTGGACGACAAAGCCATTGCCATTGACATTTCGTGACGGGATCTTTTCTCTAAGTATCATAAGGGTCCAGTTGTTTAGTTGGCGTATGTCGGCCTTCTTGATTTTTGTTTCTTGTAGTGCGATCGCATGAAGTTTAATGCGATGTGCGGCTACAAGAAGGGCGTGAAGGTCGGCGTTTGTGGAGAGTGTTCTGGCATTTTATGTGCATAGTAAAACAATCTCCGTGGCGTGTCGTGCGTGTGTTGTACATACGTATACAATACAGGTATATATGTATATATACATATATATATATATATATATATAATATGCATAATCCGTCACAGCGGTGTCCATTTCAAGGTCTGACATGCTGTCTCTACGATAATGAGCCTTACAGCACTTGATTATGAGTGGGTCAAATCTGAACTTCTGAAGAGTTCACCAGTAATCATCAACTCATTGACTTAAGTTCTCACACGTTATTTCTCAGAATTCAAGGATACCAATCAGTGAAGAATAGGTTCGACAGTGTTGCTCTGTGCTTACTTCGGTACTTAGATACTTAGATGCCCTATCTTCAGTGGTTTTGCGGTTTCTAGCATAATTTTCACGCTGCGTAGACTTGCTGATTTAGCCACAGTGGTTTCCCAGTGTCTCAAGACAGCCTAATCTAAGCGTTACTCAGGTCATCACCACCACAGGCAGTCGTCCTCTTTGTGGATCAGAGTGAGATTTGCCACCATGAGACTAGTTTGATACAAGGCAGTGGTGATTCCTTGTATTGCTTTACTCTTAGTTGGGCTTCCGACTGAAAATATTGGACTCCTCAGCTTGGGAGGCTCTGCTGAGGGATGAACCGTTCGGTTTAGATCGCAGTCCGACGCCCAGGAACACCTCATAGCCTGTTTGAGGCGGTAGACTGTTAGGATGTTGCACAATGAGACGAAATTAAACGAAATCGGCAGCAATCGTCCAATCTACCTGCGGTTTGTTAAAAATCGTTCAGTCGGTTTGCACTCTTTTAAAAGCTTTTCGCTAGAACCATCCTCAGCAAGAATGACAGAACATTGCACAAGGACATCCATTCGTTAAAGCAGATTTTCGGGAAAGATATAGCACAGTAGACACCTCCATAGAGTAATGAAACTCAGTGAAATACCTAAGGGTTCTAAGGTAAATACCTAAAGATTTAATGACTAGAAACTAAGCTCACTCTTCAGCTAGACCAAAAAACGATAGCTGCGAAAAACAGATTTATTTCTGAGAGTTCTTTAACGTTGAGCAGAATGATTGTTTACGATTGTTTGACTGTATTTACTTGGATCGGGATGTAAAAGTCACTGTGAAAGTCGTCATAGATGATCGGCTTGACATCTGAGCTGCACAGAAAGGAAAAGAGCAACTTGAAGGTCCTGTAATGGAAAATGTACGGATTATAAGGTCGGATTCTACGTAAACAAGCCGACATGCTATTTAGCATTACCGAGCGTGCTTTCAAGAAGGTGATGTTGGAGGCACTCTATTTCGTGCAAGTAAGCAAAAGTTTCACTGCTTGCCAACGGTCAAAGGTCAAGGAGCGGTCTCATGTGCTAAGATATCAGTTGCGAAGGATATGTGGTGTGTTTTTAGCCAATCGATTGACGAATCGTTAACGCTTAGTTCCTATGGGACGCTACATGCACAGCAGGAAACACATCTGACTGGATGGTAAAGCGCTTCCACGAACGTACTGGAATAGGAATGTAGTCCCGCTCTTCTTCAAGTTAATAATAGCACTCACTGGGGAACACTGGGAAGCTGCGGGATTAATGGAAACTACTCTGACTTTCGCTTGACTAACTCCACGATTAGTGGGAAAACGGGTGAGAAGTAACGGATGACATGCGCGTTTCACTCTCACAGTTAAGAGCTAGTTTGTATTATGTATATAGCAATTTTTCCTTACCGTGTAGCCACTATAAGTTTCAAGATAACCATTGTTCTTTTTTAGCCGATGACAATGTTCATCAGAAGATGCTTTCATACAACCGTGCCAATCGTATGGTCGCTATTCTGTGTAATCATCAACGAGCTGTTCCAAAGGGTCATGAAAAAGCTATGGAAAATTTGGAACAGAAGGTCTCGTGTAACATTTTTTAGAGTAATATGTTAGAATTTTTACTACGCGTTAAGATGTATGCCTTGTCATTTTTTAGATTAAAGATAAAAAGCACGAACTCAAAGAGGCTAAAGCCGAATTAGAGAAAGCAAAAGGACCAGCTAAGGAAAAGGCTCAGAAGAAAGTCACTCGTTTGAAAGAACAATTGAAGAAATTGAAAATAAGCAGAACGGATAGAGTAAGTTTATCTATCGCCTGTATATTGGCCAAAGTAGCTAAAAAAGTTTGCTTAAGAATTTTTGCCCTATACAATCACCTTGCGAGCGTGTGGCGTAGTGGTCGGAGGCGCCCTGCAATACACGTGGGATCGATCCCTGCGCCCATGGCCCACCAAGCCTGCCATCTTTCCGGGGTCGGTAAATTGTTACCAGAATTATCTGAGAGGGTAGCAGCACTGGCTGGATACATCGGTGGGCAACCGTCAGTTATTGTAAAGGCCAGATAATGCGTTCAATTACCTCAAATGATACTTAATAAAGTCGAATGCATGGCGCATCTCTTCAGTTATTGATCAACGCCGAGAGCTTTAGCTTTATCCTTCTATGTAACTATGTTCTTACCAAATCTATTATTATTCCTGGATAGCAGACGTGATTAATTATTTCAGGATGAGAACAAGCAAATTGCATTATCGACTTCAAAACTCAACTACCTTGACCCTCGCATTTCAGTAGCATGGTGCAAAAAGTTTGACGTTCCAGTTGAGAAGGTTAGTGGGTCGTGTATTGACCTAATACGAAGCAACTGAAGGCCTTTTTATTTGCATAAATTCTGTTTTTGAAATACATGTGGTCCTTTTAGGTCTTCAACAGAACTCTTCGAGAGAAATTTCGTTGGGCCATCGACATGACCATGTCATCAGATGAAGAATTTGTTTTCTAACTGCTTTATTTACTATTTGTATGTATAATTAGTTTATTTTTGCATTCATACGGCTGTTCTCCTATAAGCTTATAGTAATTTATCTTCTGATTATTTCTGTCCTAACACAGTTGTTTCACTTTGGGTGCTGTAGAATGGTTTTATTGAGTAAGCGTCTATATAATAATATAATGTTATAATTTACAACTATCGTATATTCGGATTGTAAGTGGTAGGTTCTTAATTTATCACTACTCTGTTTAGGATCTGATGAAAAAATGTCTATTATGAGACATCGAGTATAACAGTTAAGATTGTTCGTATGTTCTTTAAATTAATATGAATGTGATGTGTATCCAATGGGCAACATGTGCATTTCCATGGTTCCTTCGTTGCCCATTGTGATGGTTTTCTTTCCAGAACTATGTGTGATATAGGTCATTTAGGTCAATTATCTCCTTAAGCATCTTTCTCAATGAATGACCGTTTCCCCCCCGCATCAACAAGTCTAGGTCCTAATATTCCGTTCGAGTCGTTGTGATTAAAAAATAAGTCTCGGAAATAATGTCGTGATTTCAGCCTTGATCTGATTTTCGGATAAAACCTCGTTCTCGTTTTCTTCTGAATAAAATGTATTTGTCTATGTTCTAATAAGGCTTATTGGTTCTGTGTTGGTTGAGTAAAGTGCACCATTCTAGTTAACACTCATAAGACGACATGACCTCTGTGGGAATTATACAATGTGGAATTAGATTGTGATTGAGGGATTTGGTCGATACCGAGAGCTTTATCCTTTTACTGTTGAAGAACCCGCAAATCCGTTACAGGTGGAACCTAGAAGTAGTTAACATTCCATCCAAAATTAGCCATGGCGTAGAGATGAAGCTGGTTTTTGGGAAAATGACTATAATTTCTCGATGACTGGAGTATTTAAGTGTAGGGCCTTGTGGATCTACAGAAGAGGGTTTACTCTATCTCATGAATCACATGGACGAATTTTCGTACACTATCCTTTAAATTTAAATATGTTTCGGATTCAAACTTTCAAACAACTGGAGGTAAAATCCACGTCTTCGGAACTTCAAACGGAACAGCTATAGCTCAAAATATAAGTCTTGCAGTGGGGAACACCACACTGTCATGCTCTACGAATTCCCACTTGTTCATTTGCTTTAGTGTTCGAAATATGAGCCTTGAAGCAATGAAGTGGAAGAAATAAATGTCGTGAGTCGAGAAAATCGAATCTCATCTCAGCAAAATAACACTTCTATCCTGTTCACTAAGATTTGAGTATTCTAAGAGTTTTCACTACAAGTAAAAAAAATCGCTAGAAATTGAGATCTTTTAATACGAAGTTGGAGGTATAGTCGAATCAATGAGTGCATGCGTATCGCAGAGCACCTCTAACCACTGCGCTACACGCAATCCTTTTTCAACGATAGACGACAACATTTCGGTGACTAGAGACATTGACGTGTTGAGAACAAGACGTCACTATTGCAATAACTTTTCTCTATCGTTCTATCGGTGTGAATGACATGTATGTTAATATTTAACGTGTCATGGGCGCGTGTGGCGCATTGGTCGGAGGCGTCCTGCAAAACACACGGGGTCGATCCACAAACACGTGGCTCCCCATGCCCTCCATCCCTCCCAGGGTCGGCAAATTGGTACCAGACTTGTCTGGGAGGATAGGAGCACTGGTTCGAAACATCGGTAGGCCACCACGAGTGATTGTAAAGGCCAAATATGCATTCATTCACCTCCAACGACACCTAATGAAGTCATACTTAATGAAGTCGAATGCATGGCGCATCCCTCAGGGATTGATCAACGCCGAGAGCTTTATCCTCTTTTTATATCTCACTGTTAGGTTATATTCCATCACACAAACAAATTACCATCAGCAGTTGGAAGTGTTTTGCAGCTTATGTTGAGTCTATTTCAGTATTTTTTTATAGCTGCACACTCCATACGATAACAATGATTTATTGCAGTGATTAAAAAGGAAATCGCAGTCGTTTAACTGCCAAATTTCCGATCAATAAGCTCGTTCGATAAACAGTCCTTCGAACATTTCTAAGTACAGAAAAGAGCTCCTCCCGTTCGACGCCCAACACAACATCCGTGTTTGGGAAGCTACGGGAGAAAAAGCTCTAATTGGTGGAGGAAACCAGCAAACAGTATGTGTATCGAAATCAATGCACCAGCGTACACATTGAAATCGATGCACATGGTCGCATGGGTTGCCTTGCAATACAGACGTAATCGTTGAAATATCGTTAGTTCAATTCCATGCCGTAGGCTCACCAAGCCCTCCATCTTTTCGGAGCCGGTGCATTGAGGCCCAATTTGTCTGAGAGGAGAATGACACTGACTCCACACATCCATAGGTCATCGCAAATCATTGTACAGGCTAGATATGCACTCATTTACCTCTGAGAACAGCAATTGTCTGGTGTACAACGCGTCTGTCAGGAATCGATCAATTCCTGAGAGCTCTACTGTTTTTACCGTCTACGGTCGGAGAAGAGACATGTCAAAACGCATCAAAACAATCTTCCGCCTTAGTGTTACGTCGGTATGCCACACCAGTGCTAAGTTAATATTTCGGACGATTTGTAATGATAAAGCTCTCGGCGTTGATCAATTACTTGCGCCATGCATTCACCTTCATTAAGCATCGTTGGAGATGATTGAATGCATCTCTGACCTTAACATTGATTCGCGGTGGCCTACCGATGTGTCGAGCCAGTGCTTCTATCCTCCGAGACAAGTATGGTACCAATTTGCCGACCCCGGAGGGATGCAAGGCTTTGTGGGCCTGGGGGTCGTGAATTGATCCCATGTGTATTGCAGAGCACCTCCGACCACTGCGCTACTCACACCCATGTGATAGTGAGAGGAAATCTCTATTCGTCCGGTTATACTTTAACGGAATACAGTGACAGAACTGTTGTGCTTTCTAAAAACAAACTTAGAATTCCAATAACTATTAGTCCGACTTAGGAAGTTGTCTTGTATGATGTTCTTTCCCAGTAAGATTTCTTGCGCATTATTTTTTGAATGTTCTCCATAAATAGTCGGGTTTTTACTAAACTCATAAATCTTCTCTTCATCCGGGGGTGCTCTGCTCGATGCGATCACGAGGACCCACATTAGGAGCGGGAAGAACTGTCTGTGGACAATCGACTGCGGAAATTTGCTGATTTAGCCATTGTGGCTCCCTGGAGTCCCGAGTTCAGCCTAGCCAATGTCTGCTCCAGGTTAAAAAGCGTCACCATCACGGGCAGTCGTCGAGCTTCTGGATCAGAACGGAGTTTACCACCATGCGATTAGTTTGATACTTGGACGGTGGTGATTCCCGGTATTGATTTACTCTTAATTGAGTATCCGGATGGAAATGTCGGACTCCTCGGCTTCGAAGGCACTATCGAAGCGATGAATCCCTCATTATACATCACAACTCTACACCCAAGAATACCTTCCAGCCACGATAAGGCGGTAAACCGTTATCAATGAAAGAAAACACACTGTAGTAAAAGTGCCGCGACTAATTCATTTGACCACGGATAATCGATGAAAGACGTGCGAACAGAATCCCACGGTGGGCTAAGCTGAACTGTGCTGTACGGAAGCCATTCATGATGTTGTCTGTGTTCCCAGCAATGAGCTTGTTTGGCGTTTATCGTCTGAATACATGGGTGGCGGCGGCGGATTTGGGCGTGTTCTGCGCTGTTGTATAATCGAATCGATTTGGGAATTCATTCTATTCCTGTCGAGCCGACTCTTTCCTCTTTTTTGCTTTTTCCTTACATCATTTTGTAACTAGCCTGTAATCAAATGTTGTAAATTTGTAAAGGAACAGCGCTTTCTAGCGTGTTTAGCCATATCCGTGACCCTATCGTTCCTCGTTTCCCCTTTGGGTCCCGGCTTGTTTGTTTCTAAATTTTAGGTCGGTTTATGCTGTTTCTTAAAAGTACGTTTTTCCTATGTGAGTTAAACCGATGATTATTTCTGTTTTACTATTGAAATAACTTTCTGCTTTGTCACATGTATTTTACGGACCATTTTCTTGTGTACGGACCACCGTTATCATTCCGCGAACACTAGCCATTTCCATTCAACAGCACTGGCGCTTTCCATCCTTTTTTTCTCCGTTATCCAGGTCTCGTTTAGACAACGTTTTCGGTGGATGGTGTTCTACTTCTTTACCTGTTCGTCAATATAGTTGTCATATCAATCTCCTATAGTTGAGAAGAGAATCGTCGCGATGGTGGCTCAGGTACATTGTTTAGGAGGTACGTTGATTTTGTTTGCATTATTTGTTAGTAAATTGGGCAAAGACTGTGGTTGATAAAGGGAATAATGTGGTAAAGAAGTTTACGATAACTGTTAAAATCATATTCGAGGTGAGTTCATTTGATAGTACACTGTTCTCTAGCATTCGTTAGGGTTTGTGATCAGTGATTTGGAAGTATTAGGTTAGACCTCGATAATGCTAACTACGATGAAAGCTGGATGGATATGAAATCAGATTCTGCATTACAGACTTAATCAACTCGTTGCTGGATTGCTCTATAGCGTATTCAGGTTGTGAAGATGTAAAAAATGAGGTGTGTGTTGCTTCAATTCTTTTATCAAACTTCTTTACTGTTTTTATTTCTTTGGTTACTTTATAACGTTTTGCTTGATTTTTATTAGTTATTTTTAGGTTTATAACTCGCTGAAGTCTATCGGCACTCATCAGCCGAACACGTTGCTCACAGCCTGCCATCAGTACTTATTGCAAAACCCGAAGGTCTCCATTTGCACCTGTTATTTTATCGTGTGGATTTATTGTTTGTTTCCTCAGAGCTATTGTTACGTTTAGTTGTCTGCATCATGCAAAGCTTTCGTATTGAACGCGATTGACGGTGTCATATCCGATTCAAAAGTTGTCGTTGAACTGGACGAACAGCTGGTCTTGCTCATTATCAATCTTGCCACACAAGAAATGACAATGACAAGTAAGGTTAGTTATTTAACGAAAATGAACTTTAGTACTTTATCTATTGTTGTCTTTCATTTAAACACAGCTCTAATCGCTTCAAAAGATGCTGTTAGTACTGTATATTTACAATGTTAATTTTTTATTTACTGCCTACTATAATTTCTCACGGCAGGGTATTATTTGAGCTACAACCACAGTAATGCTGAGTTGTTTGCAAAAATCCGGACCGCAGATGTGTGCGGTGGGATCGAAACCCCTATCGCTCTTTCCGGAGGCAAACGCATTCACTACCACACCATGTGGTCCCTTCGTTTCGCCTTTCTCTCAGCTAGTTTTTTATCTACCTGTGCCATCAGCAGTCGCCACCGGAAAGGATAATAACGTGTTCTATCCTCACCGCAGACGCCTGCGTTCCAGAGTTTTACAAATATCTCAGCACCGTTGTGGTTGTATCACACATAATAGTGTGCTGTGAGAAATTTTACTAAACTTATTTACTTACTTGATACTTGAACGGCCCGTCATCACTAGTTGTGTACGCTCCAACATAATCACCATTTTTTGGAGATTTGCTGGTTAGGCCATTGTGGTTCCTTGGAATCCCGAGGACAGCCCGGCCAAAGTCTGCCCCAGCTCGTCACCACGACAGGCAGGCGCAGCCCTTGTGGATCAGAGGAAGATTTTCCACCATGCGACTTTGATACCAAGACGGTGGAGGATCCTGGTGTTGGTTTACAGTTAGCTAGGCTTCCTGATAGAAACACCGGACTCCTTCTCAGTCTGGGAGACCCTGCCGGTGAACGAAATTTTCACGCTGTACATCGCAGCCCGACACCCAGGAACACCTGCCAGCGCCGAGGAGGCGGTAAACCGTTGGGAGGAATTATACTAAACAGTAAATAAAAATGTTAATATTGGGGTTTATACGACAGCCTCAGCTTATGGATTCAATTCTGATTTGTGCTTCCGAAATCAGTTCCGTTGACAGCTGATTGGTGATGACACTGGTAGATAGAAAGGTAGTTGAGAGAAAGGCGAAGCGAAGAACACGCCTAGCGAAGAGATGAGCGTCGTTAGAGGCGATTGAATGCATATCTGGCCTTTACAATGACTCGCGGTGGCCTGCCGATGTATCGAGCCAGTGCTGCTATCCTCCCAGACAAGTCTGGTACCAGTTTGCCGACCCCTAGAGCGATGGAAGGCTTGGCGAGCCACGTGTTCGGGGGATCGACCCCGTGTGTGTTGCAAGGCGCCGCCGACCAATGCGCCACACGCTCCCATAACACATGTTAAAAATTAGCATACATGTCATGCACACCAATAGAACGGTAGAGAAAAGTTACTGCAATAATGAGGTTTTGTTCTTAACACGTCAATGTCTCTAGTCACCGAAACGTTGTCGTATATCGTTGAAAAAGGATTGCGTGTAGCGCAGTAGTTAGGGGTGCTCTGCGATACACATGCATTCGTTGATTCGATTCCTCCCAGACAGGTCTGGTACCAATTTGTCGACCTCGGAGGGTTGGAGAGCTTGGTGGGCCAGAGGTGCGGGAATTGATTCCATGCGCATAGGTGGGCGCCTCTTACCACTGCTCCACACGCACCCTTTTGCGGTTCGGAGTTTTATAAATATCTCAGGATCATTATGACTATATATTTAATTCGTACATCCAAACTTTTTCTTTAAGTCAGTACTATAGTAGCTTTCATGCACAAAGTTGAATTATCCTCTATGTTGGTAAAGAAGTCATTTTGTGCTAGATGATCCGATATGAGGATGTGAAATGTTGTTTCTTTCACAGTGGTTAACAGCTAGGCCAATTTTGCGTTCGTTTTAGCCTGCAGGTGGTCCTGTTGTTCGGTATCTTACTTGGCTAAATATCTTTTTGAACCAAACAGAAATTAAAAATCTAAATTTCATTCACTGGAGAAGTTTTTTAAACATCCAGCGTTTTTACCGTCTCCTTGTTAGAAAGTGTGGTTATAGACACACAGTCTTCATCGAATGACGTTTATACCCATCTGAGGTCAAAAATTGAGCTATGTTATGAGTTATGTCACATGTCATGTTTTATGCCAATTTATCATGAACAATAATAGCTTTTCATTTAGAAGGCTCTAAGAATTTCATTGTACTACCTCACTTTATCATTGTTTTATATGATCTTATATTGTGAACACTACTAATTTTGCTGCATATAGGATGCTGATGCGGACTGGGCCGAATCAGCCAAGAACGTCTTAGTAACACTAGCAAAAAATCCTCGTTTCGTCAAGCACGTTCTCGATGCTGTTCTGCAGAAATTTCCTCCTGGTTTGACAACGAGCCCACATCGCTATGTGGTGCTAACAATGGCAACTATAGCGGAGCAAAACCGTGCGTTGTTCCTATCAAGAATTCAGTTTTTGTTACGTTTCGGGACAACGTTTTTAGGGAAAAGGAATTTTTTTGTACGAATGCAATTTGATGCCAGCTATTATTCCAATGTTTTGCTTATGAAATCTCTCTGGACGTTATCTGAATGCTTATTCTTCTTAAAGGTCTCTTATTCTTCTTGTTTAAGCCCTTGGATTGGTTCCTTTTCTCACCGATATATTCTCTCGAACTGTGCACTTGTTGAGCCATGTCCGCAGTGACCCTCTGAGGTTATGCTATGTTCTTTCAATCAGTACATTATTTTCAGTGTTTTCGATACAGTATTTTGTTTAGGTCAGCTTGGACGCGAGCGATTAGTGCGTTTTGTGAATGTGTTCGGGAATGTGAGACTGAAAGGCCAACGGAAGTTGAAGAACAGCTGTCTGATTGTAAGAATTCCAAGACTTGTACCTTCCACATGTTTTCCTTATGTAGGTTCCGATTTCTTAGCGGTTAGTGACTCTGCAATCCGCGGTGAGAACAATTACAATCGTCATGTGATATTCAGTCGCGGGACATACGAAGACCAGGCCAAGGTCATTTACGAAGTTGTTTTTCAGTGGATGTACTGCAAAGATCCCAAGGTGTGTAGACCTTGTGTTCTAGTGAACACGCTTTGATTTATTTCACGTGAGAGGAATGCTGGCTAGACTTATTTATGCATTCGTAGACACGTGCTGAAGCTGGTGAATGTGTTGGAGAGCTGTGTTTGATGATTCCATCTGCAAAACTTATGGAGGACCTTAAGAAACTTGTATCTACAATACTAAACTTGTATAAAAGAGCATACACGGAACAATACACGATCACTAAAGTGTGTTTATTTTGCTAGTGTTTTTGGCGTGTCGTGATTACCTTTGCTGTTTAGGCAATCTGTCGATTTCTGGAGGCGACCTGTGCGAATGAATCATGTCCTTTGGAACCATATGTGGAAGATATTTTAAACGCTTTGTTTCCAAATGCTTGTCTTGATCCAGATGACTCAAGTGCAACGTTAAATACATTCGCAATCAAAAATCATAGCGAAGCATTCCGATGTTTTCACGTTGCAGGTATGATTTCTGGATTGTTTACAGTTTTCCTTCTTTGAGGTATGCATCTTTATCGAATTTCGTTTCGTATTTTGTTACGCTTTCTAGCCTCTCGCTTTGCTGATAAGATTGTGTATTATCTTCTACACAAAATCCAAAGTGTGGTAGATATGCAAAAACTAGGAGCAATAAATGTACTACGGCACTTACTCAATTCGGCAGGTGATTCACTTACTATCAAAGAGTTCATTCTTATGTTTTTCATGAGTCAACCTATTAGAAATATGTTCTAGGACAATACATGGAAGACAAACGATCTTTGCTCATGATGGGTCTGCGGAAATTGTTAGCGGCTGAAAATACTGCTTCCATCAGGGCAAGTGTACAGATTTTTAAACCTGTTTAGCTAGAATGTTGAATTAGTGTTCTATTGACATCCTTTTATAGTCTAGAAAATTCGGTTCTTGAATGTCCATTGCACTGACACGACTTTGTCATACTATTTACTTATTTGAATGTGGCTGTTGCTCCGGCGTATTTCTCCTTCATGCTTAAGAAGTCCAATCGAAAATAAGCACTTATCTAAACGGAAAAATTAAAAGTCTGAACCTATCAGTGGCATTATAAATAGTTTCAAAAGGTACAAATATTATTCCTCCATTATACAGGTCCATTGTTACTAATGCCCTTTGCTAGCATGGTGACTACCTACCTTAGCTTAACTGATGCATCTGGGACAGAAAAAGTTTTTATCTATCTACCTTACATTTCCAGTTGGTGCTCAGTAATATTTTGCATAGTCTTATGAGCGTTAGAGACGTCGGTGATGGTAGGCGAAGTTTTCACAACTTTTTTAGGGTGGTATTGTGATAAATTACCTGTTGTGGGTAGGTTGTTGACACTGTTAGTGATGTATACTGAAGTAGAGAACATTTTCTGCAAGGTAGAAGATGGTGTCTATACTTTAGATTAGTGGTAATATACCTAAAAGGAACAAAAGGACCAAATGCATATAAAATTTGAGTTGAATTTGCATCATGCATTTAGGACTTTGCTACAAGTTTGAGGAAACTATTTATGGACTAATCTGTTAATCAAGTCCTCTTACATTCTGTGGAAGATCCAGCCTGGACTGTCTGCCAAAATCAAATGGACAATGACTGTATAACAATGTCACGGTAGGGACACAGGGGCGGACAGCAGAGTGGTAGTGATTCCACTCATCAGGAGCACGGCTCTGGTACGATCCCGCTCGGGACTCACCGAGCCTCTCATATCTACGTGATCGGGAAATTGGTACCAAACTTGTCCGAGAAAAAACCACTCGCTTCAAAGTGGTTGAAAACGCTCCAGCCAGGCTATCTGAGGACCCCAGGAAGAATCGACTCGAAAAGCATTCTACGATATTCATGAACAAGACGAAGTCTTCAGGCAGCAGGTGAAACTACCCGGGAATCTTCGAAGACCGCTGTGGACGACAAGTGCGAGAAACGAATCGAATGTAAGTGTCGGGATCCAAACAGTAGATGTGAAGACGGGTCCCATAAAATAAATAAAGTAAATAATTATGTCAGGGACATATGTACCGCAGTGGCTTGTCCTGAAGTACACATTGAACCTGTCAGGGATTCTATCCTGCGTCTCCTTTTCACTAAGCTTTACATCTTAATCTGCAAATCACAAGCTAAACTTGTCTGGGAGGATAGCAGCACCGATTTGATACATCAGTAAACCACAGCAGAGCATTGTAGATAGACGTTCAATCACCTCTACGATGTTTGATGAAGTCGACTGCATGGCGCAGCGCTCTGGGATTGATCTATGCCGAACACTTTATGCTTTACATAAATTTATTCTTGTATATGTATATTCATATACCTTCTATGAATACAAATAAACATGCCTCGTGAAGAATCCAAGAGCTTGATTTGAAGTTATTAGTAAATTCCCTGTTTATGCCTATATATCTTTAGGTTAAACGAGCCATCGTACAATTATGCATTGCATTATCTGACCACGCGTATGTAGATTCAGAAGGCGGCGAACATGTGACTGCGTTTCTCGTTAGGAATCTCGTACCACCATCGGAGAACGAGTACCAGGTATTTGCAGTGCTTTATTGTGATCGCTTTATCCGTGGTTACAATTTTTGTTGGTTTAAATGCATTGAATGGTGTTTTTCCAGTCTCGTCGTGTAGAGGTTGATGTAGCAGGACTGAATCAATTGCGCACTCAATGTGGGCAAGCACTTAACACTATTGCCAGCACTTGTGTTTGTGCAAGCAAGGTTAGTTGGTATTTAAGATTACGGCTAAGATAGAATATAAGGTAGTCACAAAGTAGCAGGCATCTTTCTGTGTGGTTTTCGTTTCAGAATACAAGGTTGAACAGTAGTGAATGCGATGATCCACGATTTGTGACAATGTTCGAAGATCTTTTTAGATCAAATTTTTCGCGCGCAGTATCCTAGCATTTGGATTTAAAAAATCGTTTTTGGATCTGGTTCATAGGAATTTTGTTTTATAACATCCAAATTGTATGAATTAATTCAATGTTTTTCATCAATAAGCAGACACGAGGTTGTTAATATAGAATTTATTAGAACACAATTGCTGACGTTTCGGCGGTTTCGCCTTCTTCAGAGCCTAGAAAGGTCAAATTGAGATGTGATCTACTCAGCCAAACACTTTCACAACCCTAGCAGATAAAACTTGACAATTCGATTTGCATTCGCATAAGAAACAGCTTCATTCAAACACCTACCGTTTATTTGTTGTAAGTATTTAAGTTAGTTGGTGGATAGCCGCCGCACAGAGTAATACATGGTCGATAACTGTGTCCATGTCAGGGCATTGGATCAGCCTGAGGTATGGCGCCAGGTCACGCTTGATGACAAGACACTCCTCCTTGCGGTTCATTTTTTGTATGAATTAATGTTTCGTTTTCTTGTTGAGTAATCGCGAGGTTGTTACACAACATACATTTGCTTCCATACAAAAACACATGGTGCAACAGTAGCTGACGTTTGGGCATTATAGCCTTCAGAGCTTGGAAGGGTACACTGATATGCTCTGAAGGGTTCTGAAAGGCTCTGAAGAAGGTGATACTGCCGAAACATTAGCTACTGCTGCATTGTACGTTTTTGTATGGAAGTAAATGTATGCTGTTTAACAACCTCGCGACTGATGAACAAGAAAACGACGCATTTATGATCCAATGCCGAGGTTAAAAGAATCGTGGGAACTAAATTAATGTTCTATACTTGAGCAGACACGAGGTTGTGAACTTGGTCATTAAGGCGAAACCGCTGGAACATCATCCACTGTTTAATAAAGCTTTTATTGACAACGTCATGTCTGTTTAAGAAGAAATCATTAATTTTTTAATCAACGCCGAGATTATTTGAACATCGATCCAGGGATTTACTGGATAAGGAGATATATATGCAATAAATGAATGTGAAAACATTTTTTATATCTAAAACATCGCAGCAAGAACATATTGTTTTGTCCTGAGAGTGTTTTATTCTAAGAAATATATTATAAGCAATAGGTCATATTCTGAGCACATGTTGCGTGTATGGAAACTATCTTTATCACTCTATTTTACACTATGTGGTCTTTTTTTGTCCATTAACCGGTTTTAAATACGCGATATATTTCAGTTGCTTTGGCCCTACCTATTAGAGTTCTTATGTGTAGAACGGTATTTCCCAGTTATGGGAGAACTTTGTAAATGTCTGCGAACATTAATTACAACGGAGCGACGAGAAGGCAGGGAACTCGACTTTGAGACTGGATTCGATAATGGTTTGCAAATTACAATATTTTGATTGTTTATACTGTTCACTTATTCTATGGTTCACGGATTTTCTGTCCAGTTTAATTTCTTCTAGAGGTTTTCTAATTTACACTGCATTGAACCCCAGCCATCCTCACAGCACCTCTTGACTTGACAATCATTCGTTCGATGCGTTAACTACTGAATCTGGGCTCAAGTATCTTCGCTTTCTATCAGATGTTTTTCTTGCTGGTACACGCTTAAAAGCCTTTTTGGACCTGAGGATGTCTTGGTCGGCCCAACTTTGGAGACGTTTAAGAGGCATTCTTTTAGTCCTTTGTCGGATTCTCGTTTTTAAACCTGCCGTAGTTGGATAGGGGGTCGCTTAGGATAGACTAGTTATATATACCATATTTCTCTCTTTCACCATAACCGTATTTCTTTTCAACCTTGTGATTTGTATGAATTTTCGAATAACAGGATGACCTCAACTTGTGTAGAACAATGGAGCGACACCGACATTTGTATTTATCGTGTTTCAATAAGGTTCTCTGCATAAATTGTGCAATCTGAAGGATGTTTCAGTTATTCTTGAAAAAGGAATTTACATGAAGTAAAGAACCGCACAGAATAGGCTCGTAAGGCGATCTCCATTTCCACTGAGGTGTCTTGACACAAATGTTCCCATTTTGCTCACCTGTTCTCATGTAGTTCCTATCCTCGCGTTTATGTCAGCCGTAGTTAATTCGTAGAACGATTTTCGTTTCTTCCCTTCTTTCTCTTTCTCTTACCACCAAGATCTTCGTGAAATTCGATGAATTGTTCGAAGTTGATAAATGGTTGCTTATGGTGATGATTTTCTGCTGATGAGTTCATGCAAGTCGTTGAGATGGTATTTCATATGAAGTGTTGAGCTGGACAACAAATGGGTGCACGACGAAGCCAAGAATAAGTGGTAGAATCTCATCTAGGTAATGAGGTTTTCATCGTCCATCTGTGGAGTGGTAGCTCTTCTGGTTTTTGTCTCGTGAATAGCGATCGAGTTGTATATGATATGGTCTGTAGTGTCTAGAACATAAGGTTGTGACAAAAACAGACTGACCTAATGTTGCACATGCATAAACGGGAAGAGGCTCCATATTGTGTAGCGAGTGCAATACTGCCTTCCGGATTTAGCGGTGCTCTGTATAATATGTTGAGAACTTGTCGAGATTGCTTGTCGCTGGAGAGTGACGGAGCAATGCTAACGACAACTTCACCATTGACAGTATCCGCTTTTGCTAGTGAAAGTATTGTATAGATGGAAGTGTAACTGTAAATGTGGATCTTGAGTTCTAGTAACAATGTAAACCAACTGTGTATTATACTCTGAAATTCATTTAAAAAATGTCCACCCCTCCGCTGGAATGGTTTCCACGTTATTATCTAATGCACAACTTTTTATCGTACGTCACATTAATATCGAGAAATTTTTCAGCCCGAGTAGCTGGAAACCATGCTGTGCTAGCGCGACTATTTGTGTGCCTGTGCAATGCACCGTTGAATGGACTTTTGGCGAGTAGGGCAAGGTATTCTATACGCTTGCAACTCTTTATAATGTAGTATTCGTTTATAAATCCACTGTATTCTGTCAGAGAAAGTTATGGTCTAATGCGGCAGTTAAGCTCTTGGTTTCATCCGCTTATATCGGATGTCTTTGAAAAGTGGTCGGATCGAATTAACTCTCTCATAGATGGTGAGTTTTGTTGGTAGATAAGTAGACTGTATTATTACCTCCGTGAATATCCATCTAATAGAGGAATACATTGGATGTCCTTTTTATCTTATAAAATAAGTAGTGTGCTGAGAGTGAGGCAGGGAAGATAACCAAGTGGCTTTTAAATTTTTTTAAAATTACTATGTCTTTAGAACGTTGCGTCTTCCTAACTATTTTTTCACTAGATGATGTGTTTTATTAATAAAAAACTAAGCAGTAATTAATCAGTAGTTTCTTGAACTGTTGAACTGACACGAGGTGCTACGATATTAGGCCAACGTTTCGACATCATCTTCATTGATTTGAGAGGAAATTTTTGTTTTCCACAATGTTTAAAAAGACGAACTGTTAGAGTACCACTATTAGCTGAACTAGTTTTTGGGGAGTGGTGCAGATGGTGCCAATCTCATGCGCAATATGTTCATTGTTGCTTTGAGCTGAAATTTAATGAAGACTATCTATGATTGTTTTGGAGTCTTATATACTTACTCATACTTGAGTGCTTGAATGAATAGCATGAGTAAAAAACGGTGGTAGTGTAGAAATTGAAAAATTCTTAATTTTTCATAGCGTGCTCTATATCTGGGTTTAGAGGTGTGCAGCACTTCATTGCCAAGTCCATCGGGCGACTCTTCACCAGCAGTGGAAATGAGAGGACGTCGAATAGCAAGGTTTTTTATATCATTGCCTTCCAACTTGCTTAAATCCTCTATAATTTTGGTTTGTTTAGGTGGAATGAGGCGTGCTTGGAAATGTTATCAGCATGTATGTCAGCAGTAATAGATGGTGAATGGCGAATTAGTTTAGCAGCTGTTATGGGAAAGCAACTAGATCTATACAAGGATTATCCCGATGAAAAGGTCTGGAAAATGGCATCGAAACTGCACTGTTCTAAATCATTTAACGCTTTAGGCATTTCTTTTGCGATGTCTTGGCACTGCTTTATCAAAGATCGCCTTGAAATCATTTGTTGTTGATCATCTCATGTTAATGTTCAGGTACATATAATATGTTTGTACATTATGGTTGTAAGGGTAAATCAACAGCACAGGGAATAATTTCGTAAAGGGAACTCTTCAGAGGCGAAGGTCTAACGAGAACAATTAGGTTACCAAAACTAGTGTTTCTAGGTTATTGGACTTCCTTTACAAAATTTCTCTAAGTAAGTTTCGTTATATCCTAGTGTTTGTTCGGAAAAGTCTCCAAAGTAGTTGAACTCTAATTTGCTCACAAGCTTTTGCAGATCCACTCAGCATACTGTTCCAATGGAGAGGCAAGGATGTGCCCGAGGTGTAGGTGCATGTGCGGCATTCCATACGGATTTAATTTTGGTTGAACTAGAAAATGTATCAAAATGGGAACACGCAAAGAAAAGCACCGGGTTTTTTGGTTTCATCAAGGTACGAAACATGTTACTATTACATGCCTGTATTGCAGTAGTGAGGCAAATTCACTTTACTCTTAGTTGTATTAAAAATGATTACTTTTTGAGGGGTATTTTTTGACCGTCCTAATGAAAGTAGAACTGGAATTCTCCATATAGGTATATGTTTTTTAACAGAATAGGAGATCTCTGTTTTCAGGATGCGATGCCTATGCGCCAGTACACGGACACTGAAATGGTTCACCTTCGAGCAACTTTAATGCTAAGTTACGGATATGTTGTGCAGTGTTGCCCTATCGACATGATTACACAACGACTTAATCAGACGATCATCCCCTTTCTGCGGCATTACTTCGCTAATAGCAAGGTTTGTGTCTAATCATATCTCAGTTGCTCAGGAATTGATACTTTGGGTGTCAGCAAATTTTTTTTTAGTGCATTTCGAGACTTTATTATACACTTTCAGCAGGACACCGTAGTACGTGAAGCAATGCTGGAGACAATGCGACTCATTGCAGTTTCTGTTCATCCGTCAAGACTTCATGCCGATTACCGCTTTGAGGCTCGTAATGAATTGATTGGATACATTAAGGTATCTTCCGAATTCCTCCTGTATCATATATTTAAAAAATTTGTTATATTTTTAGGAATATGTTCAAGGCGAAACACCTGAAGTGTTGTCAAACTCCTTAAGATTGTTAGCTGCAAAGGCTGCAGCGGCTTTGGTGTTAGTCTTGATTTTAATTTCCTAATCCTAACTTTTCGGCATAGTATCTCTTTCGTATTTCATAATTCTTTTCGTTTTTTCTTATTACATAATTATTTTCCGCTTTTGAAACCCTAACAGTGTTCAATATTTTTTCATCCAGGGCATGCTTTTGTGATTCTCTTAGATTTTGCTGAATTCCACGGATATATCTTTGAGCAACCTGATTAGCGGGGCGATCTGGTGCACTACCGTGTTGCGGACACTGGGTTGAGCGCGAGCCGAAGGTTACCTGTATTTGTCTTGATGTGCAGCTTTATTCGGAGGATTACATTCCCTGTTTCTTCTGTCGAATTGATCTATAGCCTATGTGTGTAGAGATATTTGTGCATACCTACCTGATTATATATGCGAATGGCATCTTCTCTAGTTCATTTCGCCGGTAATCAAGTGAGAAGTTCAAGGGAGTAGTTCAAAGTCACCTTCAGTAAATGAATTCCATATCCGTTTGAGGAGAGCGGAAAAACCACTTCTGAGGTAGTTTAGCTCGTGTGGCAGCGCGTGGCTTCCTCTTCATATAACAACTTAAACAGATCACTGCATACCTTTACCTAAATGAGTTATACATCGGATGTATATCAGATGTTATCCCATAGTTATTTATCGGATCGGGCCACCCTACCTTATGCAAAGTTTCCCGTTTCGACGAATTTGGTTTTTTTTCTACAACACTTCCGGCTTTAGGGAAGGTACCGTTGTCAAAAACTTGACGGTATACTATGACCGGCTTATCCAGTACATTCATGATATTATTAACTAATCTGAGAGTTATAAAATCACCAAAGTTTCCAGTCTCTAGAAGCTTCCCAATTGGTTCTTCAGCAAGGAGTAGCACGAGCTGTATTCAGCGTCCAACTTATGTATGGCCTTATAAAGCTTTGCGGAGTAAAAGAGAAAATCGGAAAAGAATGAGTGTAACAGTGTTCACTAAAGTAGTGAAGAATATCAGCAATTCCCGCCACAACTTCGTTGATTAGAACTCCCTCGTCGGCCTTCAGATAGGTTAGCTGTTGTATCCACAAGTGCAGTGGTTTATCAGTGGTGAAGTAAGATTTTGGAACTTTCCCTATCACTTCGGACGCCATGTTCTCATGGAATGCCCAGAAAACTTCGATGTGTACCGCTCAGTCTGCTTACTGTATGCCATTTGTGTGGTCTTTATTCGAGTCATTCAAAAAAAAATTGGTTAAAACAACACATCTGAAAAGGTCACTGTCGGTCCTCATCAACACCTGAGTTCGTAGAAGGTTTAAGTTGTAGTTTTTTTTGCTTTGGCACAAAGATCTTTGTCGTTTTGATAGCATTACGTTTCAGCCAGGTAGAACCAATGTTGACCGATTTGGATAGCTCGTGCGGAAAGGTCTGTATTGAAGTGAACGTAGAAAGAATGTTCCTGAGAAACGGTGCTTCTCATCAATCACTTACGCTAAATCGAGTAGATATTTCCGAAAAAAAGGGCGCAGTGGTCGAGGGCGCCCTGCAACACACACGTGGAATCGATTCCCGCGTCCAAGGCCCACCAAGTCTTCCATCCCTCCGGGGTCCGCAAATCGGTACCATACTTGTTTGGGAATATAGCAGCACTGGTTCGATATATCGGTAAGCCACCGCTAGTCATTGTAAAGGCCGGATATGCATTCAATCACCTACAAACGATGCTTAATAAAGTCGAATGCATGGCACATCCCTCAGGGATTGATCAACGCCAAGAGCTTCATCCTTTATCCTTTTATTTATTTACGAATGCTCTGTGGATACCTGAGTCCGTAAGTCACGTCAGCGAACATTATTTTAAAAACTGAACAGAAAAATCGTGAGCATTTGAAAGGTGACCATAAGCATCGTGACTGTAATGAACACAACAGTGTAAAATCAGAACAGTGTTCATTTTTTAGTCCACAAGGTTCCTTCTTTCTCAGTATACTTGGATACTTGGACGGCCCGTCCTCACTGGTTGTGCGGACCCCAGCATATCCTCCATTTTTCAGAGTTTTGCTAGCTTGGCCACTGTGTTTCCTTGGAGTCTCGGGGTCAACCTGTTCAAAATCTGCCTCAAGTCGTCACCACCACGGGCAGTCGCCGCGCTTGTGGATCAGAGGGAGATTTGCCACCATGCGATTAATTTGATACCAGGACGGTGGTAATTCTTGGTATTGGTTTACTCTTAGCTGGGCTTCCTAATGGAAACACAAGAGTCATTCTCAGCTTGGGAGACCCTGCCGGGGGACGAATCCCCTGCTGTACATCGCAGTCCGACACCCAGGAACACCTCCCAGTCGATGGGGTGGTAAACCGTTGGGAATTTTTCCCAATATAAGTCTCGAAAGTATATATGTTAAGTAGGGGTGCTGGCATAGCGGTGTTCATCATTTAATGCATTGTAGAGGTGATGCTTCGAATACCCTCTATTACACAGACGAGAATGATAGTCCGAATTTCCGAATAACATCAGCCACTGAGAACAACGGATGCTACCACATACGCAGATTTCGGTAATGAAGTGAGATGGGTAGTGATGTTTATTAACGATGATGGCATAGGTCATTAATACTGAACTCCACAATAATAGGAACAGAAAAAAGTAGAAAAATAATCTCCAGTAGGAGTACCGCTTACGTAGCGTTCTGATTCAATGAACATGCTGGAATAAAAACATGGCAATTCTGATCTGGAATCTTTTCGTAGCGTTGTTACCTTGCAGTAGTTTTTCTTAATGGTTGTAGTTCGAAACACTAAACAAGCAATTAGGAGACTTTCCTTTTTTTCTCTTAAGCATGGTTTGGTTATGCATGTTCGCAATTGAACCAAAGATCAATTTACGTTTTCAAAGAAGGAGTTATAGGCGTTTGGAGCCGGCACTATGTGACGACGATATTTGGGAGCTCGGACGAGTGTTAACGCAATACATTTTACCTATGTGTCGTGAAAAGAGTGGTCTGAAAACAGTCAGTGGAGATTTACTAACTTTTTGAATTTCCTATAGTGCAATCGATTTTTATGTATTTTATATTCCGCTTCAATGTTATAGCATTGAAGTGTTTATCGTTCCTAAAAACTCTTCTTTTAGTTAGCATATGATTTTTTCGACTATGCATCATCGTCAATTTCATCGCTAACGTTTAACAACAATCGAGTTAGCACAAAAAAGGTAGACTAATTTCGACTCTTCTTCAGTACACTTGCCATCCACTTTAAGGTTCTTCATGTTGATTTGTAATGACGGCGAACATTATTATAAATTCTGTAGCATGTTCATGCCAAGCTCTGTTTAATTTGCGGATCCCACCACTTCTCACATTCGATTCTCTTCCTAGCATCCATCGTCCATTCAGGTCTTCCAACTTTTTAAGTGTGGCTTCGGCTGCTACATGAGGACTTTCATTTCATCCTGAATGCCGCAGAATGCTGGTCGAGTCGAATCTCCCTGGAGTATTGAGATTGCCGGGCTGGAGCCTTTCTATTTGGATCGCAGAGAGCGATTTTTTCCCGGACGCGTCCGGTGCCAATTTTCCCGACCTCGGAGGTATCAGAGGCTTTGTGCGCACGGAGCGAGTTCAAATCAACACCACGCTCATGATTACCGCCGGAGTGCTGCTAGGGTTACAAAATTAATTTTCTGCTTCTATCCAAACGTTCTTCTTTTGTTGAAAACCAGTTATGTGGTGTTCATTTCTGTTAATTAATTAATTTACTTTTTCTATAGATATGCCTGTTAATTGCAACTTTTTCGTGGGTGTAACATTCAGTTATGAATTCAAGATTGACGATGATGAGTCAGCGACGATAATGGATGCAACTATGGCGCAATATGGTAACGCGCTCGAGGCATTAGTCGAAGTGCGACCGACAGTTGGCACGGTTACTCTCCTTCTCAAGGTTCGTGGAATTTTTTTTCAGGTATATTAAATAATCCGTTCTCTGCATTGCAAATTGTTCATAGGTTTAGATTCTACAACCTTATTACGGTAAGCTGGCGGAGCACGAGCGTAGCAGGTCGGTGGATGCAACTCTTCAAGTACTACGAGTATACCTGGATAAAGCAGAGGACATAACTATTGGTGTAAGGGTTTATGTGTTTACTTAGTCCTTACGTTTACTGTCCTCCATGAAGACTTACAAATATTATGAGGAAAATTAACTGAAAGTGATTAGAGGACAGCATGCCTTGTAAGCATAGGAGGATAGCTTGAACACGAAGCACAACTTTAGTGGGCAAGAGACGAAGCGGAAGCTTTAATGCAAGTTTATTCATTGAAAAAGTCGTTTAAAGGTTATTGGCCAAAAAAAGTCGCAGAATCGCATGCTCGAAGAATGCGAAATGGTTTAATAATTGGTTCATTTATGGCCACACGACAAAACAGTTGAAATATACGTGAATGGAATGCCACTTGTGTCGGTATATTCTGCATTGCGTTGGTGGTTTCCATGAAGTAACCTTTTTCACGGCTTCTTTTTGCATCTTCATTCTTTTCACTGCTACGTCATACTGTTTAAACACTGCTTACGCTTCATTTGTGCATTTCGAAATGATAATGATCTCGTTTTCAAGCTGAGAAGTTGCTATAAATTTTCTATTAAAACGATAAAACGGCAAAGAAGTTAAATGCTGTTTAGAACGATGCTCTCACTTCTTTTCTTTGGAGATTTGAGATGCTTTCCTTTTTTTTGGAGTTATCTAGTTTTCTCATGTCCAATACTCTCGTTCAGTTGCTGTGTCCGTTGACTAGAATTGTTACGTCGAATTCCCTGTACATTTTCCAAGGATGCATTATGGGAGCTAAGAGATTCCCAATACGTGATTAATAAGTCTTAAATAGTTTAGACGAATTAGTTTCATAATATATGTGAAAACAAACTCTATGTACTATTAGGTTGATTGGAAAGCTCTGCTATCCTTTTTATTTTCCCTGGTTTCTTCATTAGAACACCTGAGTATTTCTGATTTACGAATCAGATTTGATGCAATTTCCACTTGACTGAACGTAGCTGGTTGGACAGGAGTTTTTTTCCTGAATTTTCGAACTATTTCCCAACTTCATTGGTTCTTTGTTTGTGTATTAGTTTGTCCAATGTATGACACAATTCGTATTTGACACATATACTGGATTAGAGCACTTGACAATCATTCGTTTGCTGAACATGATCGCATATTGAGGAAATCTGTCAAGTTTAGTAGTACCTGTATAGTATCAGCAAAGCCGAAGGTCGCCATACAGTTTTCGAGGTATGTTAACAAAGTAAGAAAGTTCCGGTATGCAGAAAGCAACTTAACTACCTCTTGAAGAATCTGAAAGATGGAAGGTTCTGTTACTTTTGTTGATGAGCCGGAATACTTCTTTATTATTAACTTGTTCCAATCAGCAGAGCAGTATCCTCGTATGCTCTGCTCAATTTCAGAGGCTGTTTTATGCGATATAACGAAAAAGGGTTTATTTCCTACAGCAGAGCACTAATATTGTCTATATGTTGTGAGATTAATGCAAATATATGTACCAAGCTTAAATATACTTTCTTCAGTTGATTTAGGTTTGAAAAAAAATTGTCTACATTGTCGTAAGACTTCTTGTTCGGACTAAAACATCTCTTTCTTGAACCGCGTGTTGGGTGGATTGTTGTGCCCACTAACTGTTTCGGCCCACGTGTTCTCCTACGAGCGCAAAAGAACTACCTGTCAGGTACCTACGAAAGTCACAGTTTGCAAGTCAAATCTGCACTCGCAGTCTTAATGGATTTTGAAATGAGGTGCAGTCGAGGCTGTGGCTCCCTTAAAGTTTAGTAGACCTACGAATTTAGATCTTTTTAAAGAATATCTCCTAAACCTAGCTGTAAAGTTACGGATCTTGTAGGGAAAAATGACCTCTTGTGTTATACTTTGAATTGTTTAGGAATTTTTACCACTTAACTGACTTTATGCATTGACTTCAGTGCGAGACCAAGAAGTGGTCATCGCTGTCAACTTTAAACCAATATATTTTAGCCTTAGAATCTCCTGATCATTGCCAACAAGACGAAAATTACGGTATTTATGATATCCTAGACGACAAATTTTGATTTTCTCTAGTTCAGAAGACGTATTTTTTCTGCTTTTCTTCATCGAGGTCCGTATTACGAACGCTAAAGTTTCCGAACAGTTGGGACCTTCTTCAACTGTGCACGTTGTAATGTTCTATTATATCGACCATGTTTGAGGCTGCCGTTGTTGTGTTGGAATTGTTAAAAGTTTAAATTCTACTTTCGATTCTTTACATGTCTCAATTTTGAAGCTTTAAAGATGGAGAAACAATTTATAAAATTATATATCCCTCTAATCAAATAGAGAAAATCCTCTTCTATAGAACTGTCAGGTTCTATCGAACAAATGTCGGTGTCCGTTATAAAACCAGCACGACTCGTTATAAAGAGTTTGAATGGCTTGAAATTCGTTACTGTACTATCTTTTTTACACCAGCGATAGTTGAAAATAAAATGAGGATCGAAGCAGCTGTAGTCCATCAACCTACATCAGGTTGCGAGCGATTTTGGGCCGTTGCCATCATTGTTGGCTCGTCTTTCACCAAGAATGGCCGATTCCTTAGCCCTCGTTCGTCATCAGTCGTTAACTGCCATTCACTATGCATTCCGTATTGCAAATGCTTATAAGGTAGTTAGGGTTTCAGCAATATTTTTTACTTAAGGTTTCCATCTATTTGTGACAACTTAGGGCCACGGCATTCTTACGGATAGCAGCCTATTCAGTATTGACGACTTCGCAAAAGCCTATTTAAGTAACGAAGGACGGTTGGATACTTATGAAGCAAAGAAAGCAATAGGAAAAATGGCTGAGGTAGATTTTAACCTTTATTTTTCGCCCGTTTTGTTTATATGTTTAGTTGTTTTCCAGTGAATTCGAACTCTTCAGGTTATTGAAGCACGTTTACCGCAGTGTCAAATGCAAACTTATTTATCTGCGTTGTTTGAGATGATAACAGATCGTCAGAGCCAGGTACTATAAACATTGCCTATCTTTGGCTTTCGGGAACTCTTTAATTTGCCCTCACTTTTCTTCATGTTTTAATTTCATAGGTCTCCTCTGCGGCTGCGCAACTGCTAACATATACTTTGAAGTGTCGTGGTGCAACGCTAGTCCTCGAAGTTGGGCACAGTTTTCATCATTCTACCACATTATATCTTTTTCTTAAGTTTTCTCTGTATTGTGTTTTAACTAAGGCTGACACATTGGTTACGACAATGCTTGGTCGGCTTTCGGAAGTGCACTCTTGTATGCAAACGTACACAGAACTCTTAGCGGCCCTCGTCGCTTTTGCGATCCATCAGCAAACGGTTGTATGTGACGTGATGCTACGCCAACCACTGCCATATTCTGTGTTAGTTTTCAGTTAAATATATATATATATATATGTGGTATGGGACGCTTCGTGGTTAGGAGTGCTATGAAATGCACACCCTTACGTGTATGTTGTCATAAATTACCATGTCTTTCTTTGGGTTTAAGGAGAGCATTGTTTAGTTTAGCTGTAGCTTGAACTCCTGCACACGAATAATTCCGTGGGTTCAATTCTGAAGGTAAAGCCATGGAAAGCGCTACAATATATATGTATATTTATATATTTATATGGTACATATGTACACATATACATATGTATGTATATATATGCATATATACATATAGTTTAGTGGATATAGTTGTCTTTCAATACACTTGAGTTCAATCCAACGCACCAGCCTCACCAATCCTTCCATCCTTCCGCGGTCGGTAAACTGGTACCAAACCTATTTAACACTCAAAGAGGATCAAAGCACTAACTCATTACATCGGTAGGCCAACGCGAGTCACTGTGTAGATCAGATGTGAATTCAATAACTTCTAACGATACTTGATGGTGCCGAGTGCATGACGCATCCCTCAGGGATTGGCCAACACCAAGAGCTTTGCATCTACATGTGTATAGATACGTATGCATATATACACATACATATATGTATACATACGTATTTATCTAAAGGGATACAGTGGTTAATTATGTCGTCGATCAGGAAGCAAAGGCTTTAGTTCGACGCCTTTCTCAATGCCCATCTCCAACCTATGTAGGAACCCTGTAGCGCGGCTATCTCGAACATTGCAAAAAGATTCGACTCAACCAGCATTCTGCGATATTCAAAAGAAGATCGAATCCTTAAGCAGCAGCCGAAACAACACGCGAAATGTTGGAAAGCCTGTGTGAACAATGAATGCGAAGGAACGCGAGTCAAATGCAGGAAATGCAGAGATCCATGCAGTTTATGTGACGATGAGTTACTTAAAATATGCAGACAAATAGCTACATACTTTACACTTTACATATACATATCTATGTACATATGGTATATAGTGTGTATATACATGTGTGTATGAATGTATATATATATATATACGTGCATATGTACATACATATGTATATATATATATATATATATATATATATACGTACATTTATGTCATGGGGAGAAGCGGATAACATAGTGTAAGTAATGCCGATCATTAAGATCATGGTGCTGGTTCGATCCCGTTTCGGGCTCAGGAAATCTATCATCCCTTGGAGGTCGGGAAATTAGTACCGGATTTTTCCGGGGAAAAACAACTTCTGCAGTCCAATTGGGAATGCTCTAGCCCGGCTATCTTAGAACTCTAGGAAGAATCGACTCAACCAGCATTCTGCAGCATTCAGGATGAAATGAAGGTCCTCATGTAGCAACCGAAGCCACACTTAAAAAGTTGGAAGACCTGAATGGACGATGGGTGCTAGGAAGTGAATCGAATGTGAGATGCACTGGGATCTGTACAGTAGACATGCAAACAGCTGGTATAAAATGATGTATAGTATACAAACATATATACATGTGTACTTATATATGTACATACATATATGCATATATTTATATATATATATATATACGTGTATACACTATATGTACGTATTTTCTTAGATTGCTATTCAGTTGCTACATATACACATACATATGCATCACCTGTCACCTGTATCACCTGTAGTTCCTTTTCGTCGAGTGACTCGAGTGGGCGCCAGTAAATCCTCCATTTTTTCCTGTCGCCTGCAAGAGTGGCCCAGTGGGTCCTGTTGGCTCTAAGGACTCGAGCATCATATCTTTCTTCAAGGTTCTTTGTGAAGAACTCTGACCATTGTGTCGGTGGTCTTCCTGCAGTACGTTTGACATCCCGAGGAATCCAGTTACTAACGGCTCTTGTCCATCGGTTGTCATTCATACGCATTACGTGTCCGGCCCATTTTATCCTCGAATGTTTGACGTACGGAACGGCATCTGATTTTTGATCGTTGACGCAGATCGGAGCTTCTGATCCCATCCCTTACTTTTGTGTGGAACGGGACACTCCGCATCGTCCTTTCGACTGCGCGTTCAATAATCCTGAGTGACCTTTCATCCTGCTTACGCAGCGACCAGGTTTCTGACGCATACGTTAGGGCAGGAAGTACCGTTGAGTCGAAAAGGTGGGCACGGAGTCGGGTGTTCTTTGTTCTCTTTACTACGTTCTCGATGCTCTTGAAAGCTCCCCAAGCCGCTCGTTTCCTTCTGCTCAGCTCTGGAACTAGGTCGTTACATATAAATATATACATACATATATACATATAAATATATATACGCTCAACGGAACGAATATCTCAGAATGCTCCAGTTATATTTTTCTAGGTCGGGAAATCAATATACGTGTATACATATATGTATATGTAGCAATGATATATATATTTTATATATATGCATATATATAATATATATATATATATTTAGTTGCGAATCGTTATGGTGAACGGTATAAAGTTGGTTTCAAAATTTTTGTTATGGATGTGGGAACGTTGAGGTCGAGTAATATTAGAGACATCTCTTTGTCGTCGAAGTGGACCATTTGAGAACGTCCACTGAAACAGTTTCGCATGAAATGTTTTGACAGGATGCGAAAGAGCTACGCATAAGTGTGAGGATTTCACGAGCTTAGCCAAATTGTCGTGCGAGAAAGGGCGTCCAGTGAGGACACATTCGAGTTACACAAAACATGTATTTGCTATGTGATCATCGTTGCTTTTTTTTCAACAAAAACAACTCGTTTGTTTTTATTGTAAAATTCGACGAGAATCTGAATGTTATTCTAGAGAAAGAGCGAAGGTGACGCAGCTAAATTCCATGAGCAAATTTCCATCATTAGAAGAAGCTGATGGCGATTTTTTGCTTGCGAGGTGGTCTTAATAGCTGTAACATCCCACAAATACCTAACAAGTTACGCTTTATTTATGGGTAAGTCAATAGTGCAGTGGACTTTAGAATAAATGCACCAAACAATACAAATTGAAGGTTGGCTCGGAACAACATTTCCCATTGAAGTGGGTGCGTAACGACCCCTTATTATACGTTGTAGAAGCATCATCGTTAATGAATTGCGCTACGAAGTTCTTACTGTATGTGCAAATTTGTTGAACCTTTCAGCAACTGACTACCATTTCAAAGATCTTTAAAAACTGCTTGGAAAAATCTATCGTGAGCCAGAGGTCATTAAATGCGCCATTTTATGTTTTCTGTTCAAGATTTATGAAGACCATGAGCGGAATTTCGACATTAATAGATAAATATAATTTTAGGGGGTTCTTTTTTAAATTAATAGAGTTACCCTGAAAAAGTGGCAAAAAGCTTTATTTCTGTTGTTTGCATATTCTGTACTCACAATAGTTAAAAAGTTTCCTCAAGAGCTCCTATTCATGATGGCTGACCTGAAATATTGAAGAATTTTGCTGTATTGTTCTGACTATGTGAAAGAATTTGCTTGGTCAATGCGTAATGCACCATTGGCTTTGGTTAGATCTTCATTTTTTTTTCAATATTCATTTGCATGCAGACAACTCTTGGATGCATGGGAATGTGTGTCGCGTGAACGAACTCTGTTCCTCTCTATACTCGACTATCTTCTGGAGTTAATGACGAATGCGTTAGATCAACCCTATGATGTAGTGGACACCGGAGGTGGTGCGTCAGTCAAGGTCGTTCATGTGGAACCGTGCCAGTACGCTGCTGCAATCACAGAAATTATAAAAGTGGGTGACGAATAGAATAAATACAAGAGCATGTGGTAACTTCCGATGCTACAAATATTGTACCATCATTAAACCGCTTTGGGTTAGTTCACCAAAGTCAAGCGCTCATTATTTATACTGTACTAAATACATTATGTAGCTCTGTGACTTCTTCAGTTCTATTATTTGTAGAGCATGTGTTTCAAACTGACAAATTTTTTGTGCCGAAATGAATGTTATTCAAACATTGCGCAATTTTACATAATTTGCTTCGAACACTTCACTTCGTAACGTAGGAGCCAGGCAGAACATGGTTTAAAACACATAGAAATTTGCTTATTCTTGTCTTCAAAATCTTAAGGATTTTTTGTGTTGTCTTGGAAAGATTGAAAAGTCGAACTCAGAATGGCGAACCTGAGTGGTCCTTAAATGAAAGAGTGCCAATGATTCTTGCCGCATTGCTTCATACGATCAGCAGTGTATCAGATACACAGTGGCCCGTAGTGGTTAGGGAGAACAAAGACGGTTAGTTACCTTATAAGGTAAATTTTCAATCGTGTTGTGCAATTGATTTTATTCATGATCAAACGTGTCGTCAGTTAAGGAAGCAAACAACCTTTGATAATCACTCCTGAGCTGAGACGTTCTACCGAGAAACCAGCTGGCTTAGCTGTTGCTGCTCTTAAGACGTTGTTTCTGAGGTACTAATGTATTTTATCGATCAGAATAACTCGCGTGGATGCTCTTCACTCTGTTATTTTCTCAGAACACAATCGCCTGCCATTATTGAAGACATGAATCAAGCGCGTGGTTGGAGCGAGTGCCTTGATCGGGAACTGTTCATTGGCGCGGTATTCGTTATACATTGCTCATTTTAAAACTTCCACTTTTTTTTATTAATAACACTTTGTTCTACCCTATTTAAACATTCGTGGAAACGTATAATTTTCGGTGTCCATAGCACGAGTCGTTACCTGTCTTTCATCTGTTGTGTTCTGCATTTAAACCAATAGGTAAATATCTCTTATGCCCGCAGAGAAAAATGTACTCCAAACACGTTCCTCATTGGCGACAGTTTTCTTGCTACTTTTTATATACAGAAGGTAATTAATAGTTCTCGGTTCAGTGTACATTTATTTGCGTAGCGTATACTTTTATTATATTGTTCATATTTGATACTCGCGTCCGTGAAGATTTCGTTTTACTCGCTTTACTAGCAGCAACAACATTTGTGGATCGATGAGAAAACTTTCCAGAAGGCAGTTTTTCGTAGTTTATTAAATATGGGAAATTCAATGGTCCATAACCCCGGTATAGGCACTGTAGCGTTGGAACTAGGATTAGAGAACGACGTAGACTCTGTAATATCCATTTTCAGTTTAGTAGTTTTCAGAATCTTTTGTCTTGTTATGCATATTCATTCGATAGCCAGTCGAAAACGGATGAAAATTGACTTGCAAAAAATCCTTTTCAGAAAGTTCGTTAACGAGTAATTTGAATAACAATCAGCTGTTATTTCATCTTAATTACTATGACATTTTATGGGTTGTACGGATACGAAAAACACTGAAACAGACTCAACATAGGATGTAAAATACTTCCAGTGTTGACAGCAATGTATTTGCATAATGGATCGTGGTAACACATAGCAAAGTAGTAGCATACATATCATGCATACCCGTAGAACGATTGAACAACGTCCCTCTTACAACTCTACTCTAATTATTAAAAAATTGTTTCTTGTTGTAACACTACCCACATCCCTCCGGAGTCGGAAGGTTGTTCCCGGGATTATCTGACCTGAACTCGCATGTTCCACAGAGGCAGTCGCTGACATGAGGTGAACATTGGTAGCGTTTTGCTAGAGCTATCCTAAAATTTCAGGAAGGATCAATTTGTGCAAAATTAAAGAGGAAGACTAAATCCTCAAGTAGCAACCGAATCCATATACAATCACAAAGGTGTTCGTGAACGACAGTTGCAACGAAACATTTGAAGGATTATATAAATAAAAGTAATATGTATTCAGTGTAAAATGTAGTTTTTCTCGAACCACTCCCGACAACGAAGTCTTTAATGAGAAGCTATTGATTGAGTGCAGAAACTAAGAAAGCTGAGTCGAGGGAAAATAAGCTAGCCGAACGGAAATCAGTTGAAATCAATGCTCATTGTCCGCTATGCTCTCATATGCGTCCTGAACTCAATGAATTTTGTCACGGGTGTGTTAATAAATTCACTCTCAAGGCGTTTGGATAGATCAAGAAAACTTTTACTAAATCATTTAGAGTAAGAGAACAGCAGAAGACAAGATTTGCAGCATTGACGTTAACAAATGCTCTGTCATTTCAACTATTTTTTGTGGTTCACAGATGCTATGAATGGTTTAAACTGAGGAGCGTTTCAATAAAGCAGTGTTTTCTTATTGAGCTTCTTCTTTCCTTCCTATGTGCCCAAAAAGAAGACACTTATTGAGTGGTATAATGTAAATTGCAATACCTCCCTATTTAGCTTACTTCATGAGCTCCTTATGAGCTCATTTCATATTTTCTACAGATTACGGTGCTAGTTCGTTCACTGGTGGAGCATCGTCCAGACTGGGTTGAACCCATGGCAAGGAGGGTTATGGAAAAATCCAGTCATATTCGAGAACCGATACGATTCACCAGTGTTATAATTTCCTCGGCGCTCGTTCGGAAGTATGTGTTGTTGTTGTATCATCTTTTGAAGATTTGTATATTTTCATAAGCCTAGTTTTTTTCGAATCGTTCTTCCTTTGTTTAACACCTGTCTTCCTTCTTTAGTTTTCCGTAGTAGTTACCAATAGCAGTTGAAGACATATTGATATTATTTCGATGTCGTCGATTTTCTGGACAAGTATTTCTAATGGTCGTTATTTTTAGATCTCCGGACTCGAACGGCGATTTTAACGAGCGACTAATGGTAGACTGTATACGTCTTCTAGAAAACTCGCTTGCTGATCAGAGTCTTAGAATTCGTAAGGTTTGCGCTAATTTTATTTCCCACTTGAATTGGATCTTATAAAGTAATGAATTCTGCATAATATCTGGTTACAATGACGCCTAGAATAACAGTAGAAATTGTTGCCATGTTACAGGGTTTCGAAGGTTTCACATTTTTGCCATGCATCTCATTCCTTCCCATTTTTAGCTTTTTTTATTTCTTGGTCATTTGTTAATTTTTTAGTTGGTTATTCTTACTTTCCATTTTTGATTTACAAAGGTAGCATTTTTATCACTTTTACGATTTTGTGGTATTTTTCAAGTCTTACTAGTGTACCATGGTAACTTCATGTGAATAATGGAAATGAAATATTGATAATCTGCAACTTAATTTTTGTTTAAGCTGTGTGTTCATGGCCTGGGCGAGTTGTCGGAATGTTCATCTGAGGCTATTAGTGACAGGTTTGCAAGCATGGCTGTCGAGGCTGCTATGGGAGGTCTTGATGACATTGGAGATAAGAATGATGCTGTTGGTGTTTCTAAATTTCTTTCTACTGTGAGAACCACATTTGTGGTCAACATTGGTTAGAACTGATTTTGCTTTTCAGGTAGCAATGGAGTCGATCATTGCTCTTAATAAACTGGTTTCACAAACTAAGGACTCGCAGTTACTTGGCATACTTCGTCAAGTTCTTCTCAAGATTCGGCCCTGTTTCGAAAAGGTATGGGCCACTATTCTTAACTGGTAGATCTACCACTTTTGTTAATATAGTGCACTACTTAAAACTGCTATCCAATACATGCAAGGTCGCATTGGTTCCACCGCACGTTCGGCGCAAACCAACCCCACCATTCCTTTGGTTTCTTCAAATTCATAGCAAATTGGTCTGAAAGGATGAAAACACTGACTGAATACCTCGATACGCTCCACCCATAGATAAGTAAGTCATCGCTTAGATTGACTGTGCATTTATTCATCTCTAGGGTGCTTATGAACCTACGCTAACATGGACAGTGTGGCATACAGAACAGTGTTTTTGATTTTTGATTATTGATGTAGAAGAGATCTTCGGATCTGCTCTCTCATTTACGTTATACAGGGTACATCCATCGTCGTCCTCTAAACTACGTGTTCCACAGCGATGAGTGATCCTCCATCCTACGTACGTAGCGACCAGGTTTCTGACGCATACGTTATAGTAGGAAGAATCATAGAGTTGAAAAGGGTAGGGACGAAGTCGGGTGTTCATTGTTTTCCTCACTTCATCCTCGGTGTTCTTGAATGCTCCACAAACTCCTCGCTTCCTCCTGCTCAACTCTGGAGCTATGTTGTTCATCGTGTTGACTTAACGAGCTATATAGCCAGATGGAATGTGAGTGATGTGTACGAAGTCAATCCGTTCTTCATGAAAATCGCTTTTATGCAAGTTAGACGAAAACCAATCTTTCCACTAGTGTTATCAAAGTCGTCAAACATTCGTTTTGCTTAGCTAATGCTTAATGTTATTGGAATGATGTCATCAGCAAAGCGAAGATGGTATAATTGCCTACCATCGATTTTCACTCCCATGTTGCTCTATTCCAGTGTTCCCACGACGTTCTCGGAGGTGGGGATAAATAATTTTAGCGAGATGATTTCTTTTGCCTATCTCCTCATTTAACGTCGATGTTGACATCGCTTTAGAATGGTAATATTTTGGCTGTGAAATTTTCATCCAGCTAACGAAGAAACTTTATATACTGGGTAGGGACTGCCTGGGTGTCCAGGGCTTCCATGACTACTTCTATATCAACTGAGTCAAAAGTTTTCCTTAGATCGATGAAAGCGAGATGGAACGCTCCGTTGTACTATCATTATACTTCAATAAGTCTTTCTATTGCGTGGACGTGGCACATCGTACTAAATCCTTTCCAAACCCTGCCTGTTCACATAGCTCTCCTTCGTCGTGTGTTCTGTCAGTCCGTTTTTGGATGGACTCGAGTGAAAAGTTTTTAGGCGATAGATAGCAAGTAGGTTGGACCATAGTTGCCGATTTCGTGGAGGTCACCATTCTTGAACAATCACGCAGTCTTGCTAGTCTTCCATGGAATACATACCTTGGTTTGTGACAGCTAATTTGTGAAGAGCGGAGCCGGTATGTATATGAGGCCTGGAGCAAGGTTCTTCAGGTGTTCAAATCTTACTCTGTCCGGACCTGATATTATTCTATTTTTCACCGCCTAAATACCACGTCGGATTTCCTAAGAGGTAGTAGCCATTGATTTTCTCCATTATCTTTCTAGAAGCTGTAATTCTTCCGCCTGGGCGTCGGAGTGCAATCATCTTGGTTTTGTAACTCCATATGGATTCTATATAGAACACTTCCATATCGTCTTCGTCATAGGTTGATGTCGGTGCGTATACGGCGAAATTTGTCAGAGCTGGTATTGCTTCACATTTCTTCAACCGTAAACGTCCGATTCGGGTCGTTAGTTATTCGGATGAATCGATGTTCATGGCCAAACTCGCGTTAACAAGAAAGCGGATGCCGCTAACTCCTCTATGTCCCATGTTCCGAAGAACAGTTCTCCGGTGTCATAGACGGCGTTGAATGGACTCTACTCGTCTCAGCGGGTCCAATAACGTTTATGCCTTAGCCCATCGAGATTTAGGCAAACTAGAACAGTCCTGAGATTTTAGCAGCCTCTCCATGCTCTTCTGAATCAGTGCTGCCATATAAGGAGTTCTTTCAAGTTCAGGGGATTGAAACTCGTTTGTTTTACTGTGTTAAGTTCTTGATGCTCACATAATGCTTGGTGAGAGGAGCTGAGAAGAGAGGGGAGAACCCGTTCGCTGTGTTTATTCATGGCGAGCTTGCCGGTCTCTCCTAGAATAGACGGTGAAACTATTTTGTAGAGGCGACTCCTAACTGCTTCCCACATAATGTTATACCTTTTATTTTCTGCCTACTATAATTTCGCGGCAGGGTACTAAGCGAAATACAACCACAACGTTGCTGAGATATTTGCAAAACTCTGGACCGCAGGTGTCTATGGTGGGGAACGAACGCGCTATTGTCCTTTCCGGGGAGTAACGCGTTCACCACCACACCATGCGGGTCCTTTGTTTCGTCTGACTCTCAGCTATGTCTTGTTCGTCTGTCTCTGCTTCCCACATAGTTCCCTGTCATTTAGTTGCAGGCTTTTGGGCGAATTGACTCGTAAAATATAATCCGAAAAGAGGAGAACACTCCTACGCAAGCATACATGAGTCGTTTTCGCAAGCACAGAAGGTATATGCCAAATTTGCACAGCAAGCATAGCGAAGCATAATGTCGTTTGTGATCCGCGATTAGCCCTATACTCATCGGCTACACGTTGCCTCGCGACTAACCTTCGTGAGAATCCTCTATGAAGAGAGGGAGATCTATGGGAATGGTTAATAATTAGTGAAACCTGTTCTTAGAGCTGTCATCTGATCGAAATTCTGAGAGATTATCGGCCGATCTTTATTTGCTCAACGGATTAGGGATTCTCGACGTTTTTCCAGGAGTATGCAGCGTTACGTGCTGCCTCATTCAAACTTTTTGGTGAGTTGGCTTCCCGTGTGGGCAGTGAGAATGATGAATTCATGGCTCATCTTCACGCAAACATTATTGCAGTATTGCTACACTTAAATGACGAGAATGAAGACGTCAGAAAGGTTTGTTGAATGTGTCTAATATTGTATTGGAAATGGAAATGCCGGGTTCCTCAGCTTGGGAGACTGCCGCGGAGACAAATCCCCTGCTGTACATCACAGTCCGATTCCCAGGAACACCTCCACGCCATGATGAGGCGTTTCTATTAGGAAGCCTATCTAAGAGTAAACCATTACCAGGATCCATCACCGTCATGGTATCAAAGTCGCATGGTGGCAAATTTCCCTCTGATCCACAAGGGCTGCGACTACCTGTGGTGGTGAAGACCTAGGATAAACTTTGGCCAGGCTGACCTCGGTAGTCCAGGGAACCATAATGGTTTAGCCAGAAAATCTCCGAAAAATGGAGATTATGCTGAGACCCGAACAACCAGTTAGGGCAGACCGTTTAATCGAGTATCGAGCAATATTGTAATGTGTAATGGAGCGGTAAATTTATTCCGATAAATTTAATACATTTAGGCATGCAGTACAACGTTGAACCAGGTGCATCCATTATTTGCTGTAGGAACGTTTTCGTCGATCGTGGAACAAGAAATGAACCGTGGGAGGCTGCCAGAGGTTTATGCAGTGGTACAGAGAGATCTAGCCGGTGTTCTGGTTAGTAGATTACAGTTAGTTCTCGAGTTTGGAATTCATCAATTCCACGGTGAGAAGATAAAAAACAAGAGTGGGGGTTCTTTTAAGAAATTATTGTTAAGCCTTCATTTTATTATTGTTTTGTACTCCATATTCACGGCCAAGCATCCCAATTACAATGAGGACCTCAGACCTATATATGAATGGTGATCTACATGATGGCAGCATCAGCAAAAATCAGCAACTTTTTTTTCTGACCGTACTTCGCATCTGAAGTTTGTGCTCCATAGTACTGCAGATTTCTTTGGAGTGGTCCCTTTTCTTAACAGTGAAATCGAAGTACACCATTTTTATTATGTTGGAATGGCAGTCTCCTTTTTTTATAGTTGTTTCTGTAGTGGTTGCTCTGTCGTAGTCCACTAATTGAATTACTTACTTTATTACCTCGTACTTATGTGACAGTAAGTTTGCCTAATAGCACTTCTGTGTTGCTCTTCAACATTCATTTAAGTCAAGTCTTCGTTTAGAAAGTTTCAGCGTTCATTCCACGTTTTCAGTACGAAAATGACGCAATTGATCTAATCTTTTACGTATTACTTGACTCCAAGCTGTTCGTGGAAACGACTTTATGCACTCCTACAAACTCGTTGTGAATTCGTCTTCTTTCTCCTTGACTCATTCACAAGTATTAGTCCTATATGAACAGTACTCCATAACCAATTCCGCCAAATCAATTCTGAGAAAACGAGCCACCGTGTTTGAGAATATTTGAGAGGTGACTTAATTTTTCCAGGCATTGTCATTTCCTGATCGAGTGAATCAGTACACGTTAACATGCAGCAACTACTTCAAGTGTTCGAATGCACGGATGCGGGCAAACGCCGCTCTTTTAACTGGTAATATTTTGGGTGTGCTTACTCCACAATTACGCGCCACTATCAGCAAGGATCTTGTTTTTTCCAGTAAGTTTTAGATCTACATTTTCGACTTTTGACCCTTACCCGTCTTTTCTTTCGCAATATTAGATGAACCTAACCGTATAGATCCTTGATTTATTAGGCCTCGTGTTACTTCTGAAAGATCCAGAAGATGTAAATGTGCGTATCGCTGCCGTAAAAGCTATTGGGAATCTCCATGACTTTTCGTGATGCTTCATGGTATATAATGGAATGTCCACGGTCTCTGATATTTCTAAACATTCATGCTCTATTACTGTAGTGAAATCTTGTCTGGTTTTTTACCGTGTTTTTTTTTTCGAAATCTAGTCTCTTCTGGGCATTTTTTATATATTCTTTTTTTGTACAGCCATATGAATTTGTTGGCGAGTTGCTATTTTTTATCGGAGGTATCTGTTGAGTTCCCTTATTACTAGTGTCATAGAAGCTTGTTTCACGCATGTTTCCTTTTTCGTAGATTATTTTATAGTTTAAATATTGATGAAACACGTGCCCTCTTTTCTCATTTCCGATCATTATATAGTCCCAACTTGAGCTCTGTCATTTCAAGAGCAAAGTCGGCACATATTTATACATGCTTGTGTACTTTGTTTTACTTTGCTTAGTTGTTTATTGGGCCTGAGGCATAATTATACGAGTTTTCCCGATTGTGAAATTTATCCACCTTTACTGCAAGCAAAACCTTCCATTGAGAAAATGCGAAAGACTGCAATGCATAGGGGTTCGGTTATTCCTTTCGTTGTGCTATGCTCGTTTATTACTCAATTGAATTCATTCGCTTTAACGTGGTGATGTGCCGGAGCCTGTGATTACTTTTGCCGTTTTGTTTTTGTCTGTTTTGTTATTTTGCGAACGTTGTTGTTATTCCTCGTTCTGCTTTCAATCATAACTCTAAAAATAAAGTTTAAAACATTCTGTCTATTGAACCAGCGAATTCTCTCTATCGAGAGGTGTAGTTCAAGGTCGGTTCGCCTTGTCTACACATAGAATTTAGTTGATTATCAATTCTGTCTTTTAATTGATGCAAGTTTTCGGTTCTTGAAGTTCGATTATATTGAACATAGTATGCTTAACTCATGTTCACTAATGTGGATTGGCATGTTGGCGGCCCTCATGGACGGAGTAGACATTGTAACGGTGTGTTCTAGGTTGTTAAACTGCACATTTTTAATACATGGGTCACTTCTTGAAATTGGTTTAACAATAAAGAATTAAACGTTTAGCGTTAATATATTACTTGGATCCTCCCAACGGATTACCACCTCATAGTGGCTGGGAGGTGTTCATGAGTGTTGGACTGCGATGTACAGCGGGGGGATTCGTCCCACCGGCAGGGTCTCCCAAGCTGACGAGCCCGGCATTTCCACTAGAAAGCCCAGCTGAGAGTAAACCAATACCAGGATCTACCACCGTCCTGGTATCAAAGTCGCATGGTGGCAAGTCTCCCTCCGATCCACAAGCGCTAAGACTGCTTGTGGTGGTGAAACCCTGGGACAAACTTTGGCCAGGCTGACCTTGGGATTCCAGGGAACTACAATGGCTTAACCAGCAAATCTCCGAAAAGTGGTGATTATGCTAGGGGCCGCACAACCAGTGAGGAGGGGCCGTGCAGGTATCAAGTATATTGCTTGGATTGCGGCATACATTTAACTCCATTATTAGCATCGCGAACTTGGTTAGTATAAACAGTGATTGCGGAGAGCCTATGGAATCAAAGAAGCTTTGATCAGATAACTTTAGTAACAATCTGCTAAAACTGTACAGGTATCGAGGACTAAGTTAGACTCGAGTGTGGAATCGAACCAAAGACGATATGTGCATTTCATGGCACGTCAATTCACTGTGATGCACTGGGCATCCGACTTGTTAGAGGATCGTCTGTTCATTTCTTTTATTGCAGCAAAACTTTTTAAACTTGTGGAGCTGAAAGACATAATTAATAGTTAATTATGGCATCCATTCCTTTGTATTTAATTGTCGAGAACCTTATTGCGTGGCATGCGGCGTTCTTATTGTTAGTAATCTGTTAGTAAAGTGAAATATTAACATATGTGGGAGTATGCTCGCAGTTTTTTTTCGGATAGTTAAAATGTTTGAAACCCACGGACTGGACATATTCATAAGGGTTATTTATCCAAAACGCCTAGAGAGTTCAGCGCGTTCATGCTTTCGATTCCTGCGCTAGGATCCGCACAGTCACTTCAAAATCATCGCCATTGTGCTTTTGTGCCCTATGTGTACCAAGAGGAGTGCTTTGACGAATTTCAACTTTCCCATGTAGATGTTTTTTATATGTAGAGACACAAAGCGGTCTACTGGCTTCCTTAGCATATTCCTCACCGCATCCTTTACACGAGATCAAGCGTATTGTACCAGAACTCATGCAATCCCCGTCTCTTTCATTAGGATAGATCATGCAGTTTTCTCAGCTGCACAAACAGTCATATAGGCGGTTGCGAAATAAGTGACGGCGCAGGGGAGTAACACTGGAGCGGAATCAATTTATTATGGCGAGAGTGCAAGAGACTCCTCTGTCTCAATTCCATCGTTTTAAGGAGATCTTTTGATTCAATTGACGTAGAAGTAGTCATGGAAGCTCCGGTAAACCACCACGTCGGTACTCCTTATGTAAATCTTCGATTCTTCGCGACTTATATAAAAGCTCAAAGAAAATATCGTCATGCTTAAAATGTTGTTTGCTGCCAGCTATTTCACTGCAGGTTATTATGTAAGGTACAACCACAGTGATGCTGACACATTTGCAAAACTTGGACTCTAGGACAGATTTGAAACCGCGATTACTCTTTCCTGAGGTTCACGTTACATACAGAACCACTAAGGCTTTCCTTTGCTTTGCTTTTCTCTCGCCGGCTTTTTTTCTACCCGATGCCTATGGAGGTGAAATGTACCTCGGAACATGAGGTCGGCGGCGGCAGCTTCCTCGTCAACACTAGTTTGGCCATTAACATTGATTCATTCGAACAACTAACAACTTGGATCGGACGTTCACGATTGAAGAGATGTGGATCAATACCGGCTTTGACAATTTTCGTCGCTTACCCGCCGACATCAAACTATGACGAAGAAGAAGTCGAAGCGTTCTATATGGATTTGGGAAAGTTCTATACTTAATTACTTGATACTTGAACGGCCTGTCTTCACTAGCTGTGCGGGCCCCAGCATAATCACCATTTTTTGGAGATTTGCTGGTTAGGCCATTGTGCTTCCTTGGAATCCCGAAGACAGCCCGGCCAAAGTCTGCCCCAGGTCGTCACAACGACAGGCAGGCGCAGCCCTTGTGGATCAGAGGGAGATTTTCCACCATGCGACTTTGATACCAGGACGGTGGTGGATCCTGCTATTGGTTTACTCTTAGCTAGGCTTACTAATGAAACGCCGGACTCTTTTTCAGCTTGGGAGACCTTTCCAGGGGACGAATCGCCGGCTGTACATCGTAGTCCGACATCTAGGAACACCTCACAGCCACGATAAGGCGGTAAACCGTTGGGAGGTGAGAAGTTCTATAGAAAAGATAGTGTATTCTTCAAGGTCGTCATTGGAGATTTCAACGCCAAGATTGGACTAAGTGAGACCCACGGATTAGAATGGAGCGAACAGGGTGAGCTGCTCTTTGAGAGTTTATCACGAAGACCAAGGCCATCCATGATAATTCGCAATTCCAGAAACCCCCAACACCCCACTCACCTCATCGTTGGACGTGGGGGTTTCCCAAAGGAGAGTGCCATAATGAAATAAACCACATCATAGTAACTCGAAGGTTTTGCCTAACCGATGTCGCTGTTGTCCCAAAATTCTACATGGGATCTGACTACGTCTCCTTCGTGCAGGATTTCATTTTTCGCGGAAAGGGAGAAAAGCTGCTAAATTCACAGACCAAAATTCCCAAGACCATCATAAACTGGATTTATTCAATTCACTGGTCGGCCGTTTTGAAGATGTCGTTCTTGGCAGCATCGATGAGGAATGCGGTTGGCTTATTTAACATGTTAGTGCGATGAAAGCGGAGAGATAGAAAGTCGCCAAGAGACGTCTATCTTCAGAAACACTGGAGCTGATTCTACACCATGGAATCAAACAAGCAGAAATGGCCAATTCACGTCCAAACTTGCAAAATACTGCAGAAAGGCAGTAAAAGAAGATCTTGAAGAGAAAGAAGCAGTTCTTTTGGTCGAAGCGATGGAGACTGGGAAAAGCATTCGAAAAACCCATCAAAACATCGCCACTTGCAAAACCAAGATGGTTGCCTTCCCACGCTCAGACGCAACAGTTACACATTCCAGAAAGGTAATGGAAAAAATCATTAACGATCACTACTGAAATCTTAGGGGCGCGTGTAACGCAGTGGTTGGAGGCACCACTGCGACACACACGTGGAATCGATCCTCGCGCTCATGGCCCACCAAGCCTTCCACGATCCGGGGTCGGCAAGTTGGTATCAGACTTGTCTGGGAGGATAGCAGCACTGGTTCGATACATCGGTAGGCCACCGCGAGTCATTGTAATGGCTACATATGCATTCATTCACCTCCAACGATACTTAATGAAGTCGAATGCATGGCGCATCCCTCAGGAATTGATCAACGCAGAGAGCTTTTAGAGCTTTTACTGGAATTTTTTCAATAGGCACTTCCTTCTGCTTGCATGTGAAATAAGGGAGGACGGAAACGTCGTCCTACCAGTTCTCGTATTTCGACGATGTGGATTCGACACCTGAAAAACCTTCCATCGTTCCTCGTCAATACACTGGTTCGACTTTTCACACCTTACCTGGCAGAATACAAGGTTCTTTCTCAGTAGAAGACCAGCAGGACTGTTTTATTGTTCAAGAAGGGTGACCGCCACGACATCGGCAACTATCATCCATTCTGCAACTTCTCTCGAGGTATTAATAGAGCACTGGACGAAGGAGAGCCATGTGAGGGAGCAGGGTTTCGAAAAGCATTCGGTGAGATAGATCACATGCACACAAAAAGAAAAAACACTGAAGTATCGTGACAGTACAAAGAACCGTTTCGTCTGTGTATCACTTTAATCGTTTTTAAGAAATCTTTTGCCTCAGCTGAGATAGAATCGTTCATGGAAGCTCTCGAAAACCAAGGCATCCTTACTGAGTGTATAGAGATTCTTTGTGTGCTGTGTAAAAATTTCACCATTGAAATACCACCGTTTTATAACGATACCAACATCGACTTTAAAAAATGAGTTAGGCTAGGCTTATTCACCTCGAGAAAGTCGATGGTCTTGTCAGCTACACGATCCTCGTATCGCTGACGACATCATTTTTATAACATCAAACATTACCCATGCAAAACAAATGCTTGCCGACTTTAATAACGCTAGTAAAAAATTAATTCTTTACTAAGTCTTACAAAAATTATGTTCACGAAGAACGGATTGGTTTCGTATGCCCTGTTCACTTTCAACGAAATTAGTATATTCAAATGCTCCAGCTACGTATATCTGAGTCGAGAATATCAGCGATGGAATATCTGGAACGCGTTTATGTACTTCAGAACGTCGAAAGTCAGGTGCGTCGAACTCTTGATGTGTATAAGCAACAATCTATGGATAAGATCTGTCAGCGATTGGATTCTTCGAGATGTTAAACGTATTGCAGGAAGATCACTGACCCAATGATCAGAGTTCTTTGTGAAAACTCTAGAGGAAGATGTAATGCTCAAAGATCCTTAAAGCGAGTTGTGTGCACTGTGCTACTCCTGCACGCGAGAGAAGGAAATCAAAGGTGTTCTGGCGCCCGGTCTAGTCACTCGACAAACAACGGGATGACGAGTGATATAAGTGATTAATTTTTGAGTTCCTGATTACTTTGATCACGGTGTGTTTGTTATCGTTTATCTGTAAGCAATATATCTACACGTTCGGAAAGGTGCTTGTGGTTTTTTTTGGGTTGTTAAAGTGTTTGGGACCGAAGGATTGAACAATTTCAAAGAAGTTGTAGCTCTATGTAGTTTTCTTCATTATTTTAAATGTGTTAGAGATTTGACTTTTTAAAAGGGCTCCATAGCTCGGATGTTTTTAAAAAACAAGATGCAGGTATGGTATTAATGGTGCGTCAATGGGCATCGCCACCTATTGCGCAAAGATCCACTTGTACAAGCTTCTTCGTCAAAGAGACGAGAAAAAGCCCCGTTTATGAGCTCCAGAAAATCGCAAATTCAACATGGTAAAAAGAAAACGTTTGCGTTTTGTTGATTAATCTTTCTAGATTCTGATGTTTGATGTTTTTTACTAGAATCCGCTAAGTTTACTAAGGGATGAGATCTCTTTCGTTTTGTTACCTCGCACTGTCTCCTACGGATGGAAGTTATTGTGATCATGTCTAAGTCTTGTTTTTCCCTTTCACTTTTTTCTAACTGAAGAGAAATTTTATACTTTGTAGCTAGGATTCTTCCGTTAAGGCAGCAATTTCTACGGTTATTGATGTGGTGGCTCAAGGGCGATGAAACAGGCTTAACTGGTTTCTTGTGACCAAAAAACTTCTGGTTGAGGTGATTGCTGAACTATCCACGATACTGCATTGAAACGAATACTGCACTACTGTTGCTAAATAGAGCTTTAAAAACTAAGGTATTGCTCTCATCATGATTAGGCTAGTGGTTATAACTGATTTTGTTCTCAAAATCGGGCACTGGAGAATTTGGTTTTAACCTTAGGCTTGCAACCTCTACTGGTAAATTGTCAACGTCGTCCTTTCTCAAAAGCAGTATTTCATAAGGAGGAACATTTATTCGATATGTTTTGGTGAGTGTTGGGATAGTTTCTTAATTTGGGCGGGCCCAATGCTTTATCGTATGTGTGTATGTGTTAGCTTAGGCATGGTATTAGCTAGGGAAGAACAGTTGGTGCTTCAATACTCAATTTTAAGGATGCTGATAAGGTTCCTTTCTGATCTTCTGTTCGATAAAGTTTGTCTTCAATGTGATTAGACATACTGTTTGAGTCCTTCAATAATGCTTAGCTTTAGACCTCACCGTAGAATAAAACTTAGTTTTACATGCATTGATAGCTCACGAAATTCTGATAATCTTGCACTTTAGATCTAAAGAAATCAAATGCATGTTTTTTCCCATTGGTAGCCCAAAACGAGGTTGATAGAAAAAATTCCCATTCAGCTAAGTGTCATCACAAAATGCCACGAAGGCTATTTCTTTTTTTGCAACTCAAATTCCATATGATCACCCTACAAGAGCGCAAAAGCAGGAGGACCGAAATATGCCAATTAGATGATGGAACTCTTGCTATATGTGTAGGGACCTTTCCGACACAAAGAGTGAGAGGCGTTGGGTTTGTCGTACATCCACCTATTTCCCATCTAGTCATCTTATACGAAATCCTGTCACCGCTCTTGATCATTCTTGATATCCAATGTCCATGTCAAAAGACAATCAGTATCATCTGCTGATCGTCATCAACTTGTATGAGAGCTAGCTGGACGGATTCTATAGCCAGTGGGAGAAAGTAATTCGCAGCGAGGAGTCCTTCTGTAAAGTCATTGTTGAACACTTCAATACCAAATTAGGAACGGCCAACGAAAACGAACACAGGATAGGAAAATTCGGAATGTGGAAACGAAATGGAGTTAGAAACGTCTCGTGGGACTCCTATACGCAGCAGGTCTCTCTCCATGGAATTTTATTTTTTGAGAAGAAAGAAAACAGCCGGCGGACATGGGACTCTTACAACGGCAGGACTCCTGTGAAGATCGACCACGTATTCACAAACAGACAATGGCGCCTCTTTGACACTTCAATGGTGCCTGGATCCTAGCCTGGATATGAAGTTCACAACAGGGAAATTTTATGCCAGTCCATTCCGCTCCAAAACCTCTCTGAAATCCTCACTGGTGAAAAAGCTTAAGCGATTCAACCAACCCTCTAAAGTCTGAATTGCAATAGCAAGCATGAGGAGAGGCACAGTTTCCGAACCCGACAATATCACAGCCGATTTCACTATAGCTAGAGGCCACAAATTATATACACCTTCCACAACTCACATGACATCTTAACTTGAAAAGGAGAAAATCCCAGAGTAATGGAGGACGCCGCTTATGCTCATCCCAGCCAAGAAGGATATGCCCATCTCAAAGACCT